AACTTTATCTGCCATAAAATTGCCATTTGACTGGTTCTAGTAAATGCTTGTTTCTTTACAGAGGAACATCACTCTCTTGTTGACCATGAAAGGAGAGATACTTCACATGTCCTTTTAGTAGGAATGAACCTTTAATCTCTTGACATCTGGGTCCTTAGGGAGCAGAGGAGGCCTGACGCTGCTACAGCCTCAGTGTTATCATCTAATCTATCTCTCCCTCCGTCCACAAGCCCGGTCCTGCCTCTGCAGTGCCATTAGTTTGAGCTTTATGTATTCAGATTTACCCTTGACTTTGACACACAACACCGCAGATGCGCACTTGTGTACTTTTCATTCCCTGAATATGTGCACTGCTGTAATAAGGGCCTGAAGTGTGAAGGATGTGGGGCGTGTGTGTGTGTGTGTTACATTTGCATTTGCAGATCTTTTTGGTTGCTAGGAGGAGATATTTGGTGAAAGGATGCAGTTGTTCATAGGTTTTGAGTTAAGATATCTTCCGATTACATCCAGAGGATATAAACTTTAATGTCACAGTAAATGATTTTTTAATAACAAAGCTCTCTACATCACTTCCTACAAATTGTGCTGGTGCCCAAAATGGGCCCACTTTAATTAAAAGTAATATTTTAACCCTGTGCTACCGAATCTAAATATTAAGTGAAATGTTGCTTCAGACAGATTTCCATATTTTTCTTTACAGCGTGAATTATCCTGCAGACTCGGAACAAAGCAAATGTTTAAAAGATCACAGTAAAAATTTATTCATGCCGAATACAGAAACCCGTACTTCATGACTGGTGAATGCAGAGGGGCAGATATTACAGATATTTTAAAACCAGCTTCAAACAAATGACAGGAAGCAACACTTAATAAGCAGAACAAATCACAGGCTCTGATGAATACAATCTTCAAGCTCAATTACACACATTGTCGTTTGTGCTGCACAGCACTGAATGAAGCTGACATCTGTCTGTGAGAACATGTGGTCTAATTAAAAAAGCAAAATAAAGAGGACCTATTATGCTCATTTTCAGCTCTGTTTTTATTTTTATTTTGTGGCTCCACTACAGTCCCTTTGCATGACTCACAGTGCACACCTTATTTATCTTAAGCTGGCCCTTAATGCAGCCCCGTAGTTCAATTACAGTCTGAAACAAGAACCGCTTCATCCTCTACAGAAGTTCTGAAAGCAAACTAAAAAATTAATACGTAATATAATTTGTCTTTCTTGATTGGAAATGGAAACTTCTCAAAATCATATATGTTTAAACATGAATCTGATGTGGGAAAATGTATGGACAGCACGAACATCTGCAGCAACACATTACAGGAGTATCTGTGAAATAATTGAGTGTTTAGTCTTTCAGTCACAAACATTTTTCTATATATGCCCATGCTAATAGATGTAAATGTGTGAAACGCACGAAAATACCATCTGAAGTGGAAATGTTGACGTACAGTATTTCACTGCACCGTTGGTTATTTACATGCTGGAGCACATTAAAGACCTGTAATATACTCAAGTAGACAGTTTTATGAGAATGTTTTCATACAGTGTATTTGCCAAGAAGACCATAGTTTGACTCTGTAGACATGCTGTGCCCGGAGTAGATCACCATATAAAGAAATCCATGACGCCCCGTCTGTGGCCTGAGGTTTTTCTCTCTCACAGGTATTACTGTTCAACTTCAAAATCAACTACAACTGAAACTAAAACCAAATAACTACACAAAAATCTGTGAATCAGCAGTTTCTTTGAACAAACGAAAATTTCTGTGGAGGATCAGGTTACGTCGGTATTTTAAACCTCAGTTTCAAATTCTAATCCTATCCACACAAATTGTATATGAAAACACATTTTACTCATTAGAATAAACTTAAGTCAAGAAGTGGCAACCAAAAGCATATCAATTATTTACTAAACTTAGACGTACATGTACATAAAAACTGAACTGAAGTAACATTGAGTACATATGCAGTGGCTTTAGCTCAATTTGCAATGTTAAAAAGCTGTGATAGTGCAGCATAAATAACAATCAAAAAATCTGATATGTTGTCGTTCTATATCATGCATCTATTGTAGTAGTTTCGTTGTTTTGAGCAAATTCTGGCAGTAACACTTTTCAGTACAGGACTTGAAATAAAGCGTTTTTGCAATGTAAACCTAAGTGCCTACGTTACAGTTGGTATTGCACATAAAATGCTACCGAAATAAATCAGGAACTACATAACTTCCCCATGCCTCCACAACCACCCCAGTTCATCAGCCATCCCCTGTACACCTCAATGAGTCTGTACCAGGTGCTTCTGTTTCCTTAAGCATATAATACAATCTAAATTATTCCCCTATTTCCCAGGGGGTGCAGGTTTTGAAGAATAAGAGCTACTTCTTCGGTGCGTCAGCACTGCAAGCTGTGCAGCCGGTTCACTTGTGCGTGCACCTGGATGTGCTTGTGCTGCCTGAAACCTGGATAGACTTGATCAATTCCTTCAGGACAGCAGTGGAGTTTCTTTAGCAGCATGTGAATGTGCTGATTTAGCTGACAGGCATGAAACAGTTTACATTGCAGTCAAATTAAAAAGCGCCAAGGTCACAATTTTGCCATTTTGCTGTCAAATTAAAAATGATACAATGGCACATTTCACATCAAGTGAGAACTGTAATGTACACGGCTCCATTGTTATTTTGTGGTTTCGGTATTTGTTTCCTCTGTAGTCAGAGAGGACCCAGAAATGAAAGTCAGCATTATTCTACTGGTATTAGTTTTGCTCTGAAGGGCAAGCTGCTCCAATAAAATGGCCTCCAACTGAGCTGGAAAAAAAACCTGCTATAATTTGTTCTCATGTGTTTCCTCTTGTCCACAGTCCCTTTTTAATATCTTTGGTATTTTCCATCCGTCTTCATAATATTCCAAGCCTGCCGCCGGCTCCTTCGCAGCACCATTCATTTATTCTTCTTTGTAGCTCTTTTTATATCCCCTTTGTTAGCTTCCTCCTCATCCCATGTAGCCAGCCTCTTCCTTCCGTCTTCCTCTGTTATCCATCATCAGCTGGCATTTTGCCAATCAGTGATGCATATCAGTGTGCTTTTACTGATAATGAAACACATCCCTTTTTCTCTCTTTCTCTAAGTCCCTGAATTTTAATCCTTATCATCACCTATAGGATGCTGACGGCAGCAATTGCAGAGCTTCATGACAGTCGTGCAGCGCTCTTACCAAGATCATATCTGGAGTTGACACGTTGCTTATATCCTATACTGGTTAATGAGGAGGAAACTACTGTAAGAAGCCTCAGCAATCCTGACCTGGAGGAGCTCTGGGATGACAATGAAGCTTTAGGAATATATTAGTGACGTAGCAATGCAAAAAGCTACAGTATGTAAGCTTTTTTTTTTTTTTTTTTTTTTAGTCTGGTCCCAATCCACACACTTGCTTAGTCAGTTCTGTTGATATCAAAGAAGATATTGTTTTGTTTTAGCCTGTCACAAGCCAAAAATGCAAATAATCGCATGTGTGCAACATTAATCTACTTATATTTTCTCCAAACACTCCCTCGGGTCCTTAGAGACTAATTCCTATTAAACACAAGCTGAACTACAATTTAAAATAGCAATGCCTGTGGGGCGCCCCAGTAGCTCAACCGGATAAGACGGCGACCCACGTACAAGGGCTACAGTCCACAAAGCAGCGGCCATGGTTAGAGTCCAGCCAGCAGCTCGTTTGCTGCGTGTTCTTCTTCCCATGTTTCGCTTTCCTGTCCACTGATAAAGGCAAATGAAAAATTACCTGTTAGCTTTCCTGAACAACATTACCCTCAAAGTCTTTACTGACCAAAATGAATGTGGGTCTAATATGGTCTCTAATTACCCGAGGTGTGTGATTCCATACACATGCACCCAAGAGTCGTTTTGTTGTGCTTGAGTGACTTTAGAAGTTAATAAGGAGTAGAAGTAGTTATTAGTCATTAGTAGAAAATAATATAATGGATTTTACAATGATATGTGGACCAGTGCTTTGTTCCTGGCCACACTATATGTACATTTACCTCCATTTTCTTTGCCTTCTTCAAGACCTGAGAAGTGTGTCGTTGCATTTATATTTACATCACATTGGTACAGCGCAGCGAATGCTGGAGGAAGCAAGAAATATTGTGTCATAATTAGTTTACAGTGTATATTGTGTGTATATGCAGAGAGATAGAGTACTCTGGTCATCAAAACAATCCCCACCCATGGCATCGCTGCTCCTCTGAGTAAATGAGGCTCCCTGCAGTGAACTATTCTAATCCTCGATGCCTAAGGGGCTTGGCACAGCATAAGACAGAGCAGACCAAAAGAAACCCTTGATATCTAAATTGTCCAAGCATCTGCTTTTTTTTTTTGTTTTCCTAAATTTTCTAATTGGGTCGCACAGAAATACAAGTTGTGCTGTATGGCTTCATCACTACCTCGTGGCTTGTTCATCCCCGTTTGCCACATAAAGAAGGTGGAGGCAGTCCTTTGTGTCATTATTGATCAGGAATCTGGAGACGAGCAGTGTTAACTACCCACCAACTCCTTTGATAGGTTAGAGCTGCACTAAAGGCCAACATGAGAAACGATTGTTGCATGTGGTATGCGTGAGTGTGCATTGTGTTTTCCTTTTGGATGTGCACACATGGAGGATATGTGTAAACATTTGTGTCAGGCTCAGTGTGTGGATGTGTGGGTGTGTGTTGCCCTCCAGGTTAACAAAGAGAAGATTGAGAGCAGCAGCAGTGAGACCCAAAGGTTACAAACCATTTCTCAGTCCAGTGAACCCAAATCCAGACATAACAAAACCCTAGCAGACTGTAGAGAAAACAGCCGACTGTAAGTGGAAGAAAGGGATGGCAATTTAGATATAGAAAATCTGAAATGGAACTTTGAAGGTTTTTCCTAACCATGATACATTAAGAAACTTCTGAGATAAAAAAAAACCTTTTCAAAAAAATCTAATTTGGTGTTTTCCAGGTCTGAGTGTGAGCGAGGAGCCTCCTCTTCACAGAGTGACCACAGGCCCTGCGTCGACAGATCACCAGAGAGGGGCACCATGTCGCAGCAACAGCCTCCAGCCTCCCTCCACCCCGGCCCTGCCCCGACGCTACCTGCCGCCGCAGCCAAGGAGCTCCCCTGGAGGTCAGTAGAAGAATAGAGAGTGATTCATTTATTCTTAGTCCAGACGCAGAATTCATTTGTTTGATAGAAGTGAAAATGGAATTTTCTGTAAGTTGGCTCAGCATCATTTCAGCATTAACAAACATAAGTCAAGACCCACGATTTGAAAAACCGAGATCTCCCAAAACTTGCATTTTAGTATACACAGATCAGCCAGGTTTTAGTAGCATTAACTCTCTCATTACAATGGCACACGTAAAGGGGTGGGATATATATTAGCAACAAGTGAACAGTACACAGATGGCTAGACCACTGGGTCTCTAAAACAGCAGGTTTTCTTGCAGTGGTTCGTGTCTACAAAAAGTGGTCCAAGAAAGAAAAGCCAATGAACTGGAAACAGTGCCATAAGTGCCCAAGACTCATTTGATGCACATGAGGGCCAAAGGCTTGCCCCTGTGGTCTGACAGCACAGAAAACCTACTGTCATACAAACTGTCAAAAACCTTGATGGCTACAATGATAGATTGATAGACAGGTGTCAGAACACACAGTGTATCACAGCTTACTGTGTAAGGTGCTGCGTAACCGCAGATCGGCTAGACTGCCCATACTGACACCGGTCCACTGCTGAAAATGCCAACAATGGACCCATGAGCATTAGGGCTGGATCGCAGAGCAATAAAGAAGATGGCCTGGTGTGATTAATCACTTTTTATTTTAAAGTCATGTGGACAGCCAGTGCATTTGTGTCATTTATCTGGGGAGGAGATGACAGCTGGATGCACGATGGAAAATAAGACAAAACAATGGAGGCAGTGTGATGCTGAGGAACCTTAGGTCCTGGCTTGGATGTGAATGTTACTTTAACCACCTACCTATACATTGTTGCATCCCTCCATGTCAATGATATTCCCTGAGGGCAGGTGCCTCCATGCCACACTGTTGTTCAGAAATTGTTTGAGGAACATGACAAAGAGTTCAAGTGTTGACTTGGCCTCCAAAGTCCCCTGATGTCAATTCAATTTAGCATCTGTGGAATGACATTTCTAACAGCTCAGGCCCTCAGAGGCCCCACCTGGAAACCTGAAGGGCTTTAACCCTATTCAGGACTTTTGGGGTCTTTTGGACCCCAGACCATTTGGTTTAGGTGACAGGTATTGTTTTTTTATTTTTTAAGATTCTTTTTTTTAAATATAAAAAGAGGGACATTTGTCATGCATTGGAACCAAAAATACGTCAACTTATCAGAAAATGTATTTAACATGGTATAAAAGTCTATAATGAATACCAACAAATATTTTTTCGCATATTCTTTCGTGGGGTCTAATGGATCCCGAAAGACCTTCTACGTATGGCAACATGAAAGTCCTGAATAGGGTTAAGGACCTGCTGCCAACTTCTTGGTGCCCGACGCCACAGGACCCCTTCACAGGTCCTATGTAATCTATGCTTCAGTGGGTCAAAGCTGTTATGGCAGCATGAGTGGGACCTACACAATATTAGGCATATTGGTTTTAATGTTGTGGGCAGAGATCAGTGTATGTAGGAACTATATAATGTCTATGCAAATCTGAGCTCCATGCATGAGAGCGATAGAAACAGATTGTGTTTTATTGCCTTGTGTTGCCACATATGCAGTGAACAGACACATGATTGTGCACAAAGGACATAAATATTTATACAGTGAGAAATTCTGTCTCTTTGTGCAGTTTAGCACCAAACTAAGAACGAGATCCTGCTCTCTGGGATTGTTGAAAGTCATTTTGGGAAATACTTGAAAACACTAACTTAACACTTGAGCACTTTACTTCACTCTAATTCATTTACAAAATGTACTGACTAGTTTTAGCGATACCGAAGGGCGCAATCATCTTTTTGAACCGTGTAATTTCTGTTCATAATGACAGCATTCTTTCTTATATCCGTGGAAATTTTGACATACATCCAAGAGCTTAAAATAGCCTTTCAGCTTTGTAAGCCCAACTGTACTGAAATACAAGCACCATATATTTAAGATGTTCTCCGTAGTCTGCTGCTAATAAATGCGATGATCTTGTTGGGTCACGCCTGACATGGTTAACACCAGCGTGACAAGCACAGCTCTAGTAATGCTTTTCACACATGGGTGTATTTTCACACATGGAACTCACCCCAGAAGCACTATTGTATCCCATATCAGTCACTCACATTTATTGGATGTGTTTAAACTTTTAGTGTCTGGTAGAAAAAAGAACTCAGAGCTCTGCTACGTTGGGATGGAGACAGTGTAGCGGCAGTGAGAGCTTTTTTTTTTAACCTGTGTGTCCTGAGATGATTTTTAAATGTGTTGCGGGTTCCTGCTTGAAGCAATTCCCTGTCAACCTTCAAGTCCTGCACAGACACTACGCCTGATATAAACAATATATTCCAAAGTCTCTGTAGCTGAACAGACCTGCTAAACACAGGCACACATCTTCTCAACAGAGTCCTGCCAAACGCTCGGAAAGTTTCGGATAAAAATGTTCTGTGCAAAGATTCTGTAGCAAGCTTTTACTTCACACACACGTGCTCACAAAAGAGCAACTCATCATGTGCACAACATTCACAGTACTGGCCAAACAAGCAGATGGCTGATGCCTTTTCACATGAGGTGGGCTATAACGTAAAGGTATAATCTATGATCCAAGTATGAACATAACAGTAACCTTAAAATTCAAAATGATCTGAATTCGCTATAATTTTCAAATTGATTGACAGTTTTTTTGTTTTTTTTTTAAGGTGTATTCTGTGAATATCTCTTCTCGGTCTGTTAGCTGTCCTTTCTGCATGTGTGCTCAAAAACATCTACCCAGGCTCTGTAAATGAAGAATAAACAAAGTATCTTGAACTAATCCGCACAACACTATTCAGCATTTGAGCTCATGCATGTTCATAGAACAGGGGAAAAGACAAGGACGAGCGGGTTTGGAGGGCAAAGGAGCTGTGGCACTACCTAAATATTCTAACTAGCTGAAGATCAACAATCTTTCTAAAGAACCACAGACTCCAGGATTAACACCAAAAACATAGCAATAATAAAATCCAATTTCATGCAAACGTTTTTTCTCAATCTGCTTCTCACTATTTGTGACCAAATCCTACACAAGAACACAAAATCCCACCATAGAAACTCAAACTCTGGTTATCTGTCATCAGAGATTTTTTTCATTTTTATGTTTCTCTGAACTCCTTTAATTAATTTCAAAGGGCCAAGCAAATGTCAGATTTTAAAGACACTCTCCGATCATTAATTAACCCCCTAAAAACACATCTTTGTTTGTCAAACTTGCATATTTAGAAGTTTTTATCCATGTGATAATCCCTTAAATTAGCTTAGATGTAGCTCCACACTGATTCCCTGCCTCACTTATACCCAACACTCTCCACTCGCTGCAGTTCAAGCACACCAGCTCACCTACAACCCTGCTCAAACACTGTACATGTTGTCCTGTGTTACACAATGCCAAGTTCTTTAGTAATTCAGCCATACGTGTTTAAGCCAGAAATCAAATCTGAAGAAAAATAATGATACAAAAAATCCTAACCCAGGAGACGACATGATTTGTTCCTTAGATTTGTTACATATGAAACTCTGGAAGTCCATTATGTTCATACTGTCATCCAGCCGTGCCATAGACTGCTTGTTTTGCTCATGGTATGTGTTCTAGCGCATAAAAAACACCATATGGTCATGTTAACAAGATAAAAAATGACATTTTTCATCAGAGGGGTCCTTTAAAGTTCCCACAGCGGCAAGCATTAAAAGCAAAATGTGTAACCATGACACTCCACGGAATAAAGTTGTCAATGGAAAATGCACTTCTACTATCATAAACAGTTGGACAACTGATAATCGCCTGTATGGATCCTTTGGTTTTCCACCAGCCCACAGTTCATCCAAATTTAAGCACAAAATCAAGACCCTCTCACTGTGTTTACAGTGGTAAGATGTGACAGTTTGTGTGCCCTGGCAGTAATGAGTCACTCTGAGATTTGCATGACTGCACCAAAACATGCATAGCGAACACACACATACAGACAACACACACACACGGTGTCTCTGCAGGCCTGAAGTATCTCTCTAGGGTTATATGGGGATTTGTTCAGGATCAGAGGCTTCTCTCCCATAACAGGTCTAATTAGTTTCTTTTCAAGGCCTTTCTCCTCGTCTCCTCTCGGCTTCACAACAGGCTCCCTGCTAACCTCTTCAAACTTCTTTTCTTTTTACTCTCTTTTTTACCTTTTTTTTTGCCTCTACACAAGTTTTTACGCTCCAGTTTTCATCATTCTGAGCTTCTGCGTAACACATTTCACATTTAATTATTTCAAATCTAGCTCCTTTGCGTTACACCCAATACGCCGCACCGACTCCGCAACAGATTAAACGTGTAATACAGGCGAACACGTGCAAGCCCAGAAACAATATCAATAAAGCTCTTGATTGTTGCCTGTCTTGACTACAAAGTGTGTAATGTCACAAAGAGCAGCGAGGTGATGGGCACATCTTCCCTCGTGCGCTTCTGCTTCTCTTTGACCCACAGTCCTGTGGGACATAGTTATACTACACAGCAGGAGGGAGATAGCTGGAGATGAAAGCAGAAGGGTAACAGAAAGATTGAAAAAAAAGTTAGGAGATGGGGGAGAAAAAAAAATCAGCAAAGAAATGGAAAAGAAGAAATTGAGGGAGTGAGGCAGGGAAGGATGGTCGGCTTCATACTTCTGTGTGTGTGCGGATGTTTGACTGACGTTAGCCAAATGTCATTGTGTGATTTTTATTGGCTAATTAACACCTACTGATTTGTTGGTCCTGGTTTAATAACAGTTGGCAGGAAGGAGTTTCAGAGGAGTTCAGAGGTCACTCGTTCCCTCCCGTCCTCCCCGAAGAGGCTGGCGGTGGTTCCCCCCAAACCTCAGTCCCCAGGTGAGTGTTTTTTTTTTCCTCATCACCAAAACATATCATGCAAAATGCACGTACTGTACATAACAGAATAGCAGTTTTCTTTATCCACAGGTGTGTAGTGATGATGCAAGTGAACACTGAAAACCTGTCAGTCTTTCTCAAACACACGCAGCCAGAAAAATCACAATAATTGGCCCTTTTTCACTGGTGTCATCATTACCATTATTAGTAACACCTCTACCTTTCCAACCATGACAGGTATTCCGCTGTAACATCGTGAGTTGCACTCGTGTCTGACAAGTAAAAAGTCTGTCTATTAGGTGCAGTCCTCTTCTAATTTTAACTGCTCTGCTCTCTATAGCTCCTACTCCTCCCCTTTCCAGCTCTCCTGATCGTCTCCTTTCCCAAATCTTTCTTTCATATTTATGCTCTGTCCTTAATCCATCCACAGCCAGAAGCGGCTCGCATTCATTTCAAACGTCTAGCGCCGGTCGTACGCGGCTTCAGAAGGAGATTTGCATTGCTTCACGATTTCTTCTATGTTGTGATTAGATCTATGCAGTCTGGACTTTCCTTCCTCTCAGCTCTGCAGTGGTAGAATTATTTTCTTATGGGATTGCGGAGCGGCCTCCAAATGTTTCCTCGCAGAGCTGATGCACATCTCCTCAGGCCTCTCTTTTTTTCTCACTAAAGTGCTGCTTTTCACCCTTCTCTGTACTGCATCTTACTTGCTCTCCTTGGACCTTGTTTCCTCCCACACAGTCACAAATAAAAACCATTTTTCTTCTTGTAATTCTCAGCACCACACATTTTTTTTCCTCGTTTCCTGAGATTTACAGGTATTGACAGTTTCTAGCGTTGCTCCGACTTGAAGTTGCTACGGACGGCGTGCCTGCAAAATGCCAGTGTGTTGAAATGAAGCTGATGTTCGCTTCGTAAATACCTCAGCCTGAGTGCCTTTAATGACACCCTATAAAACACACATAGACACACGCTTCGCGTCTGCGCAAGGTTGGCAGTCACCTTTTCTCATTGTTTCTCACCTCGTTACTCCTCATCCGTCAGCCCCTCTGCTGTCATCTGCATGCAGCCTTCAAACTCATCCACACAAACTCATTTAGTATTCGCCATCCTCTCTCTAAACCTTTCAAGTAGAACCCACAGATGTCTGGGTATGTGTGTGTCTGCAAAAGAGGTAGATATTATTTACGGGGAATAGAGAAATTTAGCCTGGATTATTAGATGGCATCAAAGCACACCTGCCTTTTTGAGTGTAGTTCTTAGATTTTTCATAGAGAAAATCTCCCCATCTATGTGTTCAGTTTATACCTTTAGCTCTTCTCTTTTCTCTAAATTGGTTCTGCACGTCTATCACCTCTACAGTCACTCGGTATCTGCAGGTAACCCCCACGCTCCTCCGCCTCACCCCTGCCTCTTGCTGAATTCATTGTCTCTCGACACCTTTCTCTCTGAGCCTTCCCTTCATGTTATCCACCTCACCCCGCCCCTACCTCCCTCTAAACGATTCCTCACTCATTACCTGGGACCCTGCACCCCAAGCCCAGCCACACGTTGTCATGGAGACGACTCCCCATGCTTCAGTAGGCCTGAATGATATGTTGGAGGCAGCCAATGTGGAGCTGCAGTGATTGCATTTGTGTGTGTGTGCGTGTGTGTGTGTGTGTGTGTGTGTGTGTGTGTGTAGACGGTTGCAGATAAGGGTTAGTCTAGATTTTAAAAGAATTTTATGTCTCTCCATAGTCTAATATATGTTCACGTTGCATGACAAGGTGACTCATACAGAGGTTAATCAGCTTGCCTGTATGTCAGCTACAGCTTAATGGTCATGTCCCTCCAAGGGGGAAAAAAAAGCATTTTCTTGTTTGTCTGGCCTTTCAATTACTGCCATCATTAAAGAGTGAAGCCTTTACTTAATTGTGCCTTTATGTTTCTACATAAACACAAATAATACACCCACATAGTTACACCGCAACAGTGTCTATAGATTTTTATTACTGGTACAATTCAATCATTATGTGAAAGCGATCACATTTATCAAAAGATTAGATGGTCCATCACGAGGAACACGGGTGTAGGAACTACCCCAAGGCTTCCTGTGTAGAAAAGATTCAATTAACTTACTGCCATTTATCATGTGAACACGGTCATTAGCAGTAGGTCAGGTCAAATCTCCTCTGATTTACTACTCATCAGTCCCGTTATTAGGGCTAGATGTGTCCTTGCTAGATTTAAGAATTGGTACATGACTAATTAATGACGCACGTGACGTGTCATATGATTGAATATTTCCGTATCATACGTCATTATGTGTGTTTTTGCCTTGAGAAACATATGCTTAATTTTCTGTTGGTTTTTTTATTCTGTCCCTACAGTCCAGTCTGGGCAGCGGCCTGCGGCGGCGGTGCGAGGGTCAGCTCCCTTGGGGTCCCCTCGCCGTGTGGCCCCCCTGAGGCTGCAGCAAGAACAGCAGGAGAGCCTGCAGAGAGAGAAGGAGGAGGCTCAGCAGAAAGAGAGAGAAAGGCAAGCGGAGGAGAAGGAGAAAGAAGAGCAAAGGGAGGAGGTGAGTTTCTGAGAAAATCTGCAGGCAGCAGTGCTCGGAGTTTGCTCTGTTCTATTCTACTCCATTTTATTCTCTGTCACTTAGGTTCAGAGGCTGCAGGGACGTTGTGAGCAGCAGGAGAGGCAGCTGAAAGCGCTACGAGATGAACTCAGGAAGACTTCTCTGGGTTTAGAAGCCTTCATCATTACCACTCAGCATTATTGCCTCAAGGTAGCGAACTAGAATGATAGAGTGCATACACCATAATAACCCCACAATACCACCAATATAACAGTGCCAACCTGCTCTGAAGCACCTGCTCTGCTTATTCTCAGTGATTTCTGAGAATGTATTTGGTCTAAAATGACCGCCTTGTTGAACAGTGTGCACCATCATCATCATCATCGTCTCCATTCCTTCCACAGTGTAACCTCTAAATAACAGGAGAACATAACAGGAGATCATTTAAAGGTTCACCTGTGATACTATATAGATTGACAACACAGTGCCTCAACCTTTTCATTCACTCCAAGCCCGGATGGTGTGGCACACGTGCGCACAGTGCACACACAGGTCGCATACAGTATTTACCACATGGAGGTGAGATTCACAGCATGGTCAATGAGCAGCACGATGAGCACGAGTGGTTGCGACTGTGGAAAGGGTCTACCAGAGTTCAGTGTGTCACCGAGCTGGTTCCATCCAGCTGATGGTGTGTGATGGAATGATTTAGCCTCGGAGGTGCTACCGCTGTAATACTGCTGCCAGACTGTCGAGGGACTGTCTGACTTCTTTATGGTCATTGTCTGAGTGCTGCTATCACTGGCCTACAGTGCAGATATAGAATCCAGGAATGCTGTAAGTGTTGGCCTGATGGAGTAGGTTTGAGCTCCCTCTGCTGGCATCAGTCAGTCAACAACATACAGAATACAACTGCATGTACGTTCTTTGTGTATTCATATCAGTAAGCGACATCTACATTTGTTTTTGCTCAACCAGCTCTGGGAGATTTACATTCCAGGATTATCTGGTTTACTACCTTACCTACTTTTTAAGGCTAAGAGAAATTTTGTTTCAAAGAATCATAAAGCTTGATGGAAACCAAAAAAAGCAGGTTTTGTTTTTCCAAGTGGCGTTTCTGTGATCTGTTTTTCGCACACGGTTTAATCAGTTTGTCTCATCAACTTCAGCTGTAGCCTACAAATACCCTTATGGAAGATGTTAAGCTTTGTCAGCATTCGCGTCAACACGTGAGCGATGACCGCGTCAGATAATGATGCAAACATCACAAAGCCTCCAGCATTACTTTTGGTTCATGTTTTTCCATTATCCAGCCGCTGTCATTTGTTTCACCATTACCATCCCTGTCAGAATGAATTGTACAAATGGTTCTTGGATCTTGCACTGTATCAAAATTACGTTCGTTTCCAATTTTCAGAACAAAACTACAGATGAAAATCAAAGACAACTGTCCCTGGAAATGCAAAAGATCAGAGAGGAAATGGGTGAGTGAGAATGAACATTTGCTCCAGCAGATTAAAAACGTAAACAATCAAATAAAACATAGCAGGGTGAACTTTCACACTGCGTACTTTGACCAGTCCTTGTATCACTGTAATCATTAATCGTGACTTTCACGTGTCCCAGTGATGCGTGATTTCGTGACACTTAGCCATCATGCATATTCCAGACTCAAATGTGTAAAGCTGAAGCAACTAAACACAATTTATCCATTATTATTTTTATTTTATTTATGTGTTTTTCATACAGCTACATGTTCAGGTGCCTTTGGTGAAAACTTATTTATTCAGTGATTTATTATTTTTTTGTTCATTTTAAAGATATACAACATGAATGCCATCATTGACTCCCAAATGGAAATGCTGGTTTTAAATGTTGTACAAGACACAAAATGTAATTATTCTTTATTGTCTAACGAGATACTGTCATACAATGCAATCTACTCCGATACTCAGCATCCAACTCGGTGCGTTGGGAGAGACTCCAGCGAGAAAAAACAGCACTGGAGGTGGCGTTTGAGCGCGAGCTGCAGGAGCTTCAGCTGCAGCAGGAGGCTGAGCTGGCTGCTGTGGAGGAAGGGCTCCGGAAGTGTCACTCAGCAGAGGCAGAGCACCTGAAAGCAGAGCACCGGTCAGAGATGGAGGAACTGAGGACTCACCAGCAGGAGCTGGTGAGAGAAAGGCATCATGGGATGAGATTTGATTGCTCGTATGAAATCAGATCCGTTGTTTGTCAACTTCATTGTGTGTATTAATGTGTTAGATGGAGGAGATGACAGTCGGCCACCAGGCAGCCATTCAAGAGCTCAGAGACATGCATAACATCACCATGGCAACGTTGCATGAGGAGCATGCCCGTACAATGAGAGGTATGATTTTAGGCCTCATTTAAAAAGCACAGTATGATGCATGCAAATGCTAGAAATAACATCAGCTCTCCTTTTTTATGGGCTTCTTAGACTTAAGGAAAGCTCACGAGCAACAGAAGATGCTTCTGGAAGAGGACTTTGAGAAACTGAGGCTTTCTCTACAGGTACGATTGCATAAATAAAGATCCTTGATGTTTTATTTTTGGTTTACAAATCTGTATGATGTTGCGTTTCTGTGTGTGTCCTTGTTCAGGATCAAGTGGATACTCTTACATTTCAAAACCAGAGTCTGAGGGACAAAGCCAAACGCTTTGAGGAGGCTTTGAGGAGGAGTACGGATGAACAGATAGTTGTGAGTGTAAATATATCCAATAAACAGCCAATGTGGGAAGTGAACCTACAATCCACAGAGTCTTGAGTGCCATCACGCTAAATCCCATGTTTTATTCTCAATCACTCTTGTCGCTGTTGTCTTTTTGTTGCACATGTAGGATGCGTTAGCTCCATACCAACACATTGAGCAAGATCTGAAGAGCTTGAAGGAGGTCGTGGAAATGAAGAACCAGCAGATACACCAGCAAGAGAAGAAGATCACGGACCTGGAGAAAGTGGTAGGCTCAAATAAGCCATCTTAAAACCAACTTTAACACTTACTTTACACAAATGCACACTGGTCTGGATACACATGTTGGGTCAGTGTGTCTGGTGGATGAAAGATTGCGCTGTGCTTGTATTTTGCTTTTGAGCAGGCCCAAAAGAATGTGTTCCTCGAGGAGAAGGTCCAGGTTCTGCAGCAGCAGAATGAAGATCTGAAGGCTCGTATTGACATGAACCTGGTCTTGTCCAGGTGAGACACAGTCAGTCATCATCATTATCAGTAATGGATCATTTACAGTCTACTACTGCCTCATAGTTGTAGCTCATATAGTACACACTATAGGTAGGGTTTCAGATCGAGTATTATCCTCATAGTAGACATGCATTTTTAGCTAAACATTCTGAACTCTAACACAGCATGTAACATGATGTATTGCTTGCTATGCACAAATGTTAGCTTCCTCTGTGTTTTTTTTTTTCCTGCAGGCAACTGTCGGAGGAGAACGCCAACCTCCAGGAGTCCGTCGAGAAGGAGAGCACCGAGAAGAAGCGCCTGAGTCGTAACAACGAGGAGCTGCTGTGGCGTCTCCAGACCAGTCCTCTAATGTCCCCCGCCTCCTCCCCGCTGCACCGCTCCTTCTCTACCTCCCCCGTCCCCTCATCCCCGCTATTCTCCTCCTCACCTGTCGCAGGGTGCGACTCCCCCACTCACTGCCACGGCTGTTCCCAGCAGGCCCAATACTCCTCTCCCTCCCACAGAGCTGCTACTAATCAAAATCTCTCCCCGGGACCAGCCACACCCACTCACAGGGCAGCCGTTAATCAGAATTTCTCCTCTAATCCAGCCACACCGACGCACAGGGCGCCGGCCAGTCGCTGTAACTCAAATTCTTGTCTTAGCTCTTTACAGAGATAAGCTCTTTCCTCGTCTGACTCATTGCCTCTTTCTTTCTTATGTTCTTCTCTCTCTTCTTTCCCCTTTTGATGAGGAAATAACAAGACCTGTGGAACTGGACACACAGTAAAGTCAGTGTCAGAGCAATGAGGTTACACAGTGTTGAACTCCCCAAGCCTCTGCAGCTTTTGATGTCCGTCATGTTAAACACAACTCTATACGCAGAAATACGACAACACAACATGCATACAAGGGTGCTTCAAAAAGTTCTCGGCCTCACCAGATGATGTCACAGGAGAAATACTGTTCTTGCATTATTTTATAACATAGTCTTCTTTAGCGTTAATGCACTTGGTCCACTGACAGTCAGACTCCATAGAAGATCGCATCTTAAGCCTACAGATACTCAACGGCATGCATGACATCATCATCAATCTGAAAATGGCGACCACAAAAGAGGAAAAGCAACAGCACACCAGCTCGAAACTTTCCTCTCCTTTTTTCTTTAATTGTTTTAAACATTTAAGTTTTTGTGGACAATGATAAAAGGCTTTATAGTATACAGCTATGGCCTAAAATGGGAGTTGTGTCCAGGTGAGGCCGAGAACTTTCTGCAGTACCCTCGGACATACTACAATGTGAAAATACAGAACAGACGACTGCAGCTCTTTTGTCTCCAATTCACACTTGTATCAATATGGAGTCTTGAAATGTAGAGTGTATATACTGTATGATAGCGGCACAGACAGTGATGAAAGGTTGAACCTCCCCTTTGCATGGGTAGTCATGAGTCCTGCACAGTACAACGGTACAGATGGAAAGTAGCACACTCTTGTCACCAGAATACTCTGGCATGTGAAAATCACAGTCATGTCCTTTGTAGAATAAGCTACTCACTGGGATTAGTTTCTTGTACTCAATTCTGTTCTAATATATGAATTCTGGATTATGAACTGAATCAGCTTTCAACTGAAATGTTTTCTTTTTGGTTTAGTTTCGTTTTTCATCTGGAAAAATCCCGAACAAAGCGCCTTATACTCGGTCCTGCTACCTCACCAGCAGAGAACGACCAACGTTTTATTTATAATGAACTTTAGATAAAGAATTGGTTTGTAAGTTAAAGCAAATCATGCTTGCTAGCCTCATCAAGGTGTATTTAACATTTTCTAATTAGTTCAGTGCTGATAGTTTTACTTGCGTGGGACGGCCCTCCTTGGAACCCCAGCCATTTAACCTGCAAAATACAAAGACCTTAATGTTCAACGTTTTTTTTTGTTTGTTTGTTTTGTTTAAATTAAAGAAACCTTGCCAGGTCTTCCGACAGCATCTCACCACATGAGCTACTTTTCACTTTTTGGGATCCCTCAGGTCAACTTGCAAAAACTATGTCTGCCATTTTGTATTTACCTCAGTGGGAATGTGCAGTCTGTTGTGTTCCGTAGCTCAACAGCAAACAACAACAACAAAATCACACAGCTACCAGGGAGCTCAAAGCTTAGGGGGACACCTAGCGCAGGAATCACTGTTCTCAATGTTGTGAATTTCTTTATAATGTGATGTTTCTATCTAAGTTATTTGTTACATGTATTTTGCTACTTAAGCAAGCATGTACTGTGAAAGTCTTCCAGTTTTAACGTGAAACTTTATTATTGCTGTGATCTATTTATTAAGCTTGAGGTGTGAAGGATGTAAATGGTGTTTGTAACTTTGAAAAATAACACTTACGGGACACAAGTGGAATATGTGACGTGCCCAAGGAGAAAGCAGATAAGCTGCAGATTGTTTGACTTGTCGTCCTCACACATGCGGTTGTATGAAAAAAAACGTCTAACGCCCCTGAGTGAACTGCATTAATTTTTTTTTATTGAAGAAGTAAAAACAACCCCTGCAGCAAATATTAGGCTGTCTTCAACGGTTAAGAAACTTGTTTCATAAACCTCAAAAATAGAGAAAAACAGTAATTGTAAACCTCAATAGCCATAATTGGCTCATGAAGATTTATAAGATGAGCCAAGAGTGAATGCAGTTTGCATATGGATGCACAGATTTTTTCATACAACTGTACGTAGATGGCGTTCAGGGGACTGTCTTCTGATATGATATGTGTCTATAAGCTATGTAGGTTTTTAAAACAAAACAAAACAAAAAAAAACAGGTTAACCCTCTGTTTACCTCTTTGTGATGTACTAGATTAGTGTAGACCTTTCTGAACCTGTGTTAACCTCTTCATAACCTCCTCTGATGATTCTGGTTTGTTTATGTGAATGACACTTTTTTTTAATTCTTACATCATTATGTTCTAAACTTTGCAAACTGCGCTGAACTGTCAGTGCACACAAATATATCGTTCAGGGAATTGTTTTCTAAATTTAGATTAGAAATACTTTCGATTTTCTTTTGTATAGCTTCTCAGCAGAACATTATACACTCTCCAGATTATTTCCCGAGATACTTTTCCACGTATATGAGATACAATAGAGAAACCAACCATTGGTTTATAAAAATGAGAATTATTTTATTGCATACAGTATGTTATAGCTGCCTCCTGTACTGTACTCTGCTGACTAACTTACCCTCAGGGTCTTAATCTTTCGTCTGGTTTTGAGCAAGTCGCCATCGAAAACTACAGTCATAGGCAGTGTAATCTCAGTGATTCACTGACGCATAAACAAAGCTATCAGGCTATTAAAATGAGCCGCTGTAAATAGACAAGGCCAGAGAGAAAGGATGAGAGTAAGTCTGTGTCACATTGCGAATGGGAGCATGAGTTAGGGGTAGCAAACTAATGTAATATTGTTAATAGTTAAATAGATGCATTGGGAGAGGGGGGTGGGCTGGGTGTGGGGCTTCATTAACGAGGTCTGGCACAGATTTTTGAAATTTCTTACAATGCCCATTGTTACATGTTCTGTTAAGTTACAGATGGAAATGTAACCTTTTTACCAGCATATAAAGGACGATGTTTCTGAGTTACCAGTTTTTCAGTACTAAACTTTTCAGTAGACCTGTAATTGCTATACCAGCACTTTTGACGGTTTTGAAAAACTAAAAAAAGGAAAAAAAGCGATTGTTTTTCATGGATTTTCAAGATTTTTGTTTTTTTTTTGTATGATGCGAATACAAGGTTAAATGCTCTTAAACAAAAAGAATGTCAGGTGCAGCATAAGATTTGAGAAAATGTATCTCAATTGTCACTGATTTTGTACCTACGCCAATGATTTTGAGAATGTCTTTGCATAACGATCAATTGTAAGAATATATACCAGTCAGAAAGTCACTGTGTTTTCAAATGTTTAGGATTACAGGACCCATGTCATTGAATGATTCTTTAGGGTCCCTCCTAAAGGTCGCTTCAGCTGCAAAAACCACAGTCTAAGGATGCAACAAAAGTATTGTTTACAAATGACAGCGTAGAGTTACCGATTTCAACTTAAATGAATATTTCACCTTTGAATGGACTATGATTTCTAAACAATGAACTGGTATTGTAATGACCCTTCAATGTGTCCTGTGGACATCTGTGTCTCACTATGCGCTGAATGTCAAAAATAGAATGACTGCATTTTATACAAGTCATTCCTATGATTTTGTTTAATATTGAAGGACCTCTTGTCTGACCACGATGTAGCAGCTATTTAATATGTAGCACTTGGTCGAGCCTCCCCACAAGAAAAAAAAAACAAAAAACACAAAAAAACAAGGGTAATGTATTTCATTCATTAGGGAGTAAAACGTCCATGTTGATATTTAAATGCTATTGTAGCAAATGTTTCCATGGCTTGTCAACTTTCAGCACTACAATTTGAATTTGTGGAGGTAAGCTATACAATTACTCCTTTTGGATTTGGTCCAGAGACAAAGTTTACGGAATTTTGTTTGTTCTGGCACTGATTGTACGTTTGAATGTAAATACATTTACAACATGAGTTGTGTCTTAGTGCACCGACAGAGTAATAGAAGCATGTTTTTTTCTGTCTTCGCTGTTTCTCGCTCTCCCTTTTCTCTTCTCTTCTTTTACCTCTCTGCATTCGTGATGGTCAAAATGTAACTGTAGCGTAGGAGACCTAGAAGACGAGGAATGAAATAGTTCATCAATGTAATGTACACACAGTATGTTGATGCTCCTATTTGTACTTTTTGGGGAGAACACAGTATTAAAATATTTAAGAAAGTTTAAGAATGTGTACATGTTTTAATTAAGGGTAATTCTTGTGCTCCAATCAATTCATGAAAATAATTAATAGGTCTCCACCTATCCCTTTGCCACTTGCTGCAGTTTGAGCACACCAGCTCACCTACAACTCTGCTCAAACAGTAAAGTGAAACTACAGTACACGATGGCAAGTTCTGATATTCAACCATACGTGTTCAATCCAGAAATCGATTCCGAAAAGGGATAATGATTGAAAAGCCCCACCTCACAAGTTATAGTAACAGGCTGACATGTCAACAAGGGGAAAAAATCTGTACTTTGACTGGAAGGTGTCTTTAATTGCATGTATTATGTTCAGGACTGGCTTTGATTGAAAGTATCACTGTATTTAAACAGACTTAACAGGTTTAGAGTTTACTCATATTGAGCTTTTTTACATTAGATTTTATTTGTTCAACCTGCTTTCTTTCTTTTTTACATTGGAAGAACATTCAGCTTTAAGATTCCACAAAATAACATTTCAAAAAGGACTATTTATGTCAATTTTACTGTTTTCAATTTTAGATATTTTCTTACATTTCTTCTTTTCATGCAAAAAAAAAACAAAAAACAAAAAACAAAACTGAAGCATCCTTTTGTTACTGGGTCTTTTGTTTCAAAATGTGACCTGAAGTCCAAATGTGACCTGTTTCAAAGTTAGGATGAAAGGAAAAAAGCCCAAACACCAGTCTGCCAAAATGAATAAAACAGACTTTATTTAAGGTACATGGGGTTAACACGAATTTACGAATCAAGAGGCAACAGAGCATCTGCAAGAATAAAACTAAAGATTTTCAGTATTTCACAGTAATGTATCAAAACACCCAGCTGCTCAGTATTGCACTGTATAGTATAATGAAAGATGTACAATAAATTTTAGAATTTCAAAACAACATCTTATTATAGCAACTACTCTGAAATGAATCTAAATCACAGTGGTTAACAGGCCTGGCCTGATCACAGCTTGACTATATAAATCGTAAAGGTGTCTTTTGTGATCACTTGTAGAATAACAGCCATGCAGCGTCAGCATTATTTGCGCCCTAAAAATAGGCACAGAAATCCACCCCAACCTCATCCGATTCATGTTTTATGGTAATCAGTACACAGAGTGACCGCTGAGCCTGCAAGCTCACTTCCGCATGAAGTGAGACATCACGTCCATGGGCAGCGGGAAGATGATGGTGGAGTTCTTCTCTGCTGCGATAGTGTTGAGGGTCTGCAGGTAACGAAGCTGCAGGGCTGACGGGGACTCTGCGATCACGAGGGAAGCCTCCTTCAGGGCACGTGATGCATTCATCTCACCCTCTGCTGCAATCACCTATAGATCCAGAGAGAAAAATGTCAGCACAGTGTACAATAAGTAGCCTAAATGTAAACCTCTTCTAGCTTTCTTGTAATAACCGTTCAGCGCCTGAGTGTGCACATTGTGCAACTGCAACAAATGCTCGTATAATACTGTAGGCATCATGCGGGTTGTGTTTGTGTCCTGACCTTAGCTCTGGCCTCTCGTGCGGCCTCTGCTTCAGCAGCCATGGCTCTCTGCAGCTGATGGGGCAGCTTCACGTCTTTAATCTCCACGCGCTCCACCTTGATGCCCCAGTGGTCTGTGGCTTCATCCAGGCTGCTCTGGAAAAGACAGGAAAAGGAAGAGCTCACATCTGTAGCTTTGGGTGTAATATATCTATATATATATATATATATGTCTCTGTAGGGCATGTAGAAGCCAATAATGTAATAATGGCCGATGATGTAATAACGGCCAATAACATAACAAATTTACCATTTTTAAAACGCAATAGGCCAATAACGTAATAAAAGTCCTGCACCAAAAACGTAATAACTTTTGGCCAATTATGTAATAACTTCTAACGTTATTGGCTGGTTATTACATTTGCAAAGAATTTTTTTTTAAATTACATAATAACTTACATAAATTTAAAAAGTGCAAATCTATTACGTTATCGGCCGTTATTACATTCTTGGTTTCTATAGGGCATCTAGAGAAAAACAGTGACATTTTCCCATGGCAACCATATAGGAAATGTAAACATAAAGCTGTCCATTAGGGATGGAGAATGAGGTAACCAAGCCAACCAGATGTGACCTCCTATGTTGCTTTTGTTCACTGGGACTAGAGAGTCTCAAAAGAAATCCCACTGATGTAGAGTAGGCCTCTTTGTCAAAAATAAAATGGATCACACTAGCCAGTCAACACCAATTATCTAAAAGGGAATTCTAGCTTCTGAAAAATCTCTTGAGACCAACATCACAGCTTTCTAACAGCACCACGTGTCAAATCCACTTTACCTTACTGAGGCACTCAAATTTATTTTAGGTTTGATCTCTGCTTGTGCATTTAGGTGTGTGACATGTTGTAGTTTCAAAGGCTTTCTCGCTTTAAACGGGCGTCGGATTTTGTACCTGCATGCTGTGAGCGATGCCCTCACGGTCAGACAAGAGCTCTGCAAGGTTCTTAGTTCCCAGGACATTTCGGAGGGTGGTTTGTGCCAGCAGGCGGGTAGAAAAGTCAGCATTAGACACGTTGGCCACGGAGGCGATGGGGTCACTGACGCGGAAGTACACCACACCGTCCACGCTCACTGTGACTGAATCCTTGGTCAGGATCTAGAGTGGAAATGCAAGTTCATGTGTGTGCGTCCACAGATTTTTAACCAAAGTAATGAAATGATTCCTCAAGGACAGTTTTGCAATGTTTTTTGTTCTACCTCTTGTGGGGGAATGTCAAAGGAAACTGTTCGCAGATCCACTTTCACAAAGGAATCCGTGCATGGCAAAATGAAGAAAATCCCTACAGACAAAAAAAACAAGGAGAACACATTCATATATGTCGTCTTTTTTTTGTATGTAACTGATCCACAAACAGAAAATGTATAAGTTGATATCGTTCCTACCTGGTCCTTTGGGCCTCCTGTCTGTTATGCGGCCCAGTCTGAACATGACAGCACGCTCATACTCCTGAACTATCTGCAAAACCGCAAAGAGGCTCAGTTCACATTCAGACTTGCAGTAAACAAAATAGTGGTTTCTGCTCTTCAGCCCACTGTGAGGCTTCCTGAGTTGACTCACCTTGAAACAAAACCAGATTGTGAAGGGGCAGAGGAGAAAAGTGAACAAGCCAGAGAGTATGACAATGAGCCAACCAACGCATCCTAAAGCCCCCGTTCGTTCAGCTAAAGAGAAAGACAAAATGGTGGCAAATGCGTTTGGTACAATGTGAAACCCATAACCAAAAGTGACATGAAGAAGAATAACCAAAATCACAATGAGTAGAAATATGGAAATTATCCATAAGGTTTCAGACAGATATTCTTCAGAAACTAGTTTGAAGTTATTTTGGACCACTTTGAAAGGTGTTGCTTTTAGGCTCTCTGTATCCACAACACAGCAGACCTTCAGGGCAGCTTTTAGCTCTTAACTGCCCATTAGTCAAACACACAATACAAAAGAGCGTGGAGATAAATAAAAGCCAGAGATAAATTTTAAAAAAGCATGTGTCAAGGGTTGTAATTAATGTCATCCTTGAGGTCATAATAGATGCTGATAAAAGCCCAAGCCACAGATCAACTTTCTGTTTACACACAGAAACTCTCCTGTATACAGTGCAAATAGTGAAATGTTTACTTGTGCAATATGATCTTTGCGGTTCTTCTTTGTTAATAAAAAAAAAAAAAAGGGCATTCAGATGGGAGAGAGAATCTGTTTGTCATACTGATTTGTCAGCTTCTATCACTCTGTCTCAGCATGTTTTGCAATAAAGCCATTACACAATGACATCTGACTTCACAGTTGTCACTTGAGCAGCATGCGGAATTACACTATATCAGAGGACTACAACCATATTTTGATGTAAAGCCTCAATTTCATGGCCTTTATGTTGCTTCTGCTATCATTTCCTTGGCCCTGGCAATATCAATAAAAACTCCTTATTCTGTCTTTCTAGGTCAAACCACAGGAAATTCATTCAATAACAGGAAACCGTCTCCTCTTCTTGAACTAAAGAAAGTCTCACCACTGCATTAAACTGTGAGAAAGCATTACTCCACACCACAAAGCTTTGCAAATTCACTGTTTCGCATGATCTATGGAGGACAATGAGAAAGGTCATATAAATGTTGGTTAAAGGTTTGTGAGGATTGTTACGACAGAATCATAGCTTACACCAGTCTTCATTATAAAACGGCAATCTGTGCACCCAGTGTATGTCTTAAAATTAGTAATGTATCACACAGTTATCTTTGTTATATAAGCAGGTCCAACAGGTTGGAGATAATCAAGACCTGAAGAATGAGGCTCTGATATGAAAAGAAGCCCTTATCAACAACTGCGTTTGGAAACATTTACATGCACCTGAGCCGATGCAAATTGTGTAAGATGACAGCTTTCCCTGCTCACCTGGCCTCACAGAGCATGGATACGGACACACAAACACTCACGGTCACATGCTTTTGGGACCATTTACCTCTGTGACATGTGATTTCTGTCTCTATGACGATGGAGTTACACTATGTCCTAACCACTGTGGGCTGCTTTCCATCTGCACAGGTAAGCGCCCATCCATATAGAAAACATAAAGCACTCCTGCTAACACAACAGATAATATAACAGCAGTGTACATATAGCACGGAGCTCAAGAGTAAACAACACCTTTGTTGATCTAAGCTTGGAACCAAGTCTGTTTTTAGTCATTTCCAACACAACCGGTTATGTAGCATCAAAACTTAGTAGAGAAAAGAAAAATTAAAATTTAACTTACCAATGAGGTCGTCTTTGCTCATTCCTCTTCTCTTCTGACTTTCCATTTGGCTCTCCATTTCCATGTACTGGTTAAAACTGAGAGTGGCAGTAGGAAGTGCGTTGAGTGAGTTAGTTGAAGTGCAACTAATCAAGAGGAGGTGACCCAGCCTTTTAAAGCAGTAATGCCGCAATAAAATGCGGTTCAAGGTGTAGGTGTGGTTCTGGCTCTGAGTTGATCATCCACAAAGGACAACTGTCATGATGATGGTCAATGGATAATCTCAGAGGTTGTTTTATGTGTGAAACGGATGGAAACAAAATCTTACTTGGCTGTCAATACATAAAAGAAGTAATTAAAACAGTGGAAATATACACAGTATGACACAGGACTGTATTGAATACATTTTACTGTCCAGTTGCGACTTGGCATATTGAGCCTGGTCAGTCTCAATCTAGTTAAAAATCTCAAAATAATTTCTGATGGTGTTTCTCTCGTGTACACGTGCTGTTAGTTCCTTTAATCCTACTAGAATAAGGAAATGTTTACTGTGAATGCAGAAATACTTTGTACTACCCCTTTAAAGACCACACAAAGCATAAAAGAGAAACCACAGAAGAAAAAAAAAAAAGAAAGACAAGGTACGGAAATTCCCCATTTAAGAGACACTGACGGTAGTGGTGTAAACATAATGTTGAATATACTGTGTACATGTATTACATTTTATTCTAGTTTTCTTCAGAATAAATACCATTAAAAGGGGAAATAATTCTATCTGTAATGTACTTACTGTAAATGTTAATACAAATGAATCAAGTTGAAGCATTTCTTAGACTATGGGATTTAAAATATCCACATTATTTCGTGACAAAAAAGATAAATTCTTACAAAAAGAAAAACTAGTTGAAATCAGATGATAATCAAATGTGGAATGCCATTAAATTGGTATTATTTTAGGAAACCACAATTTTTTTTACATATCAAATGCTCAATGATTGCAAATGTTTATTTAATAGTTTTAGTTATGCCAAAGTATAAACGGAAAATTTCAGAAATGAAATCTGTGACGACGAGATCCGTTACTACATTTTGAAGTCTCATTACTCATTGACACATGACTGATCACATGTTGAGCAACATCATGGATGATCTTGATAAGCAGCGCTAAATGGACCATAAAGAGACTGTAAAAGTGTTAATGTGGAGGGTTGGACGAAATAATCACAAGCAGAACCACAATATTCACAGCATTGTGTTTCTTTATCCATAAACCTTTGTTTTAATAATATTATATATTTCTATCAAACTGTGTCCGTGTGGATGTCACTATACCACATTAATCCACTATCAGTATAGCAAAGTACTTATACTGTGGGTACTTATACCCTCACACCTGACGTTAACTTTAAAATATGCACATCTAGCCGTTTTTGTAATTCTGTAAAATAAAGTTGGTTTCCATGAAATTCATCATTCACCATTAAGTTTTTCAGCTTCAGTAATTTTATTTAAGAAGTGCCTGATAGTCGTGGCATCACATAGACTACAGATACTACAGCAACCAGCAGTTCACTGTCAAAGTAAAAAAAAAGGAACCAAAAAAAAAAAAGAACAAAATACAAAAATGGGAAAACAAAACCAACAGTGTAACAAACTAAATGTCTATTATTCTCAAATAATACAGTAACTGTCTGTGAGTTAACCTCTGTAGGTAAGATTACTACAGACATTTACAGCAAATGAAGTACAGGTTTCACTCAGTTTGTGAAGAAAAACGTCATAGTCATATATATCATAGTCCACAAATCAATCCAACAAAGCTTCATGTAGTTGGAAAACATCTGCACACAGTATCTCATCAGACACTGCAGTTACAACACTAGCAGTGTCACGTTTGTCAAAAGAACTTTGTAAACATAAAAAAAAATGCAAATCACAGTTAGTTGCCGACAGCAACAAATATTAAAAAAAATAAAAACACAAAACATGAGTAGAGCTGCCAAATGCAAGTTCTTGTGGTCAACACTCTAAGCCCTGAAACAAGTGATAAAATATATTTATGGTATGCCCACTTCAAAATGTGACTTCATATAATATAAGTCAGCGAAAAAGTTCATGTCACAATATTTTCAGGGATTCAGGGCAAGTTCATAACATTTCCTCTGAGAATGGACATGAAATACTCTATCAGGATACTGTCAAATCATTACATGATATCATGTAGATTTTGTCAAATTTTCTATAATTCATTAATAAGTGTTTAGGAGTTTTATTAAAAACAGGCAAGTCGGGCTAACAACAAAACCAGTCACAGTCTACATGTGGAACCTAACAACTTCGACAACTGATATTTACAACTATTCTCTATGAATAATATTACAAATATGCCTTCTCCCCCACAAATAATTTCACCTTTTTCCAAAGTAGTGTTCTTTGTATCATGAAGCCATTTTTGCTGTAACACGCACAGAAATGAAACTCTTCCGTCTGTTCTGTGTCCTGTGGTCTTCAGAGTGTGAGGCCAAAAATAAAAAGCCTCGCCCGCCGAGGGGTAGGTCAGGGTGAACTGCAGAGATCTATTTATTGTTTCCAAGGGTACAGCAGGTTTCACTGCCAACCCAACGGGGGGTGCAGGCCTGGCTGGAGGGGGAAGGGGTTTCCTGGACCTGGAGGATAGTTGGTGAAACTGTTGGGTTGAGGGGGAAAGCTCTCCAAAGCAGATGTAGGATGAGCCTGGAATTAGAAACACAAATGTTTCTTGTTGCAGTGAGGCTTTATCAAACTGTGTCATTCTAATAGTGTGACCAGAGAACATTTTGTGTGTCTAACTACCTGTAGCAAAGCAGACTGCATGGTTGGGTTGTGGAGGCCACCAAGGGCTGCAGGGGAGGCAGAGGGGGAGAAGCCTGGTACGCCGGGGAAAGACAGCAAGCCGGGGAAGCCACTACTTCCTGGAGGCTGAAGTCCACTGCTCAACCTGAAAGATGCACAACAACAGCCGTCAGAACGTGGAACGCTTAATGAGTATCGTTTTTGTTGCTCTTATACACACATTCACTTTCCCTCTTAACGAAGGAGCATGGTGACAAATCGATAGCATGCTTTTATCTGTCCATGTTATAATAACAGCTAGCATATCAGCTCATTAACTAACAAGTTCTATCTTGTTCTTTTTTTTTTTTTTTTTTTTAAATCTGTACAAAGCCTGCAGTATAACTGAGCAGTAGACCAGATACCACTGGAGACTCCAGGAAGTTAATCTTGCCAGAGAAACAATAAGCATTCCTACTTGAAATCTGTATGTATGGTATCAGCATACATTATAATTTACCAATATTTGTGTTTATATTTAATGAGAAAGCGAGTTGAAGCCATAGCACGTTGACTGAAAACTATTAGTATAAGTGTGGTGTATGGTTGGTATGTAATTTATCTTTTCTGGATATACGTTTTCTTTATCCACACTGAACTATACAATGCTGTTTACCAACTTGCCGGCTCATTCAACAGCTGTTACAATAAAGGGCCTCACCTGTCTCTTGAGTGTAGGAAATGTCAACACAGGTGAGGCTTGTGCTTGCGATACTTTGTCCATGACAAGACAACATAACTAACTTTGACTTGCAGCAATTACCCCGTAGAGATGGTAGGGCTTTCTTTGAGACAACATAAACCAAAGTTTATGGATGACATTTCATGGACTACAAGTGGACTTTGCACTTTGTAGGTGAAGTGTGTCGCTTATCACGTCAAACTCACAATGGAAAAAAAAGGAAATTGATCAACTTGATTTATGACACCCTTTTTTTCAGCCTCTTTACAAGCAAGTGGAAATCCTCATCACATGTTCTGTTTGACACAGTGTTAGTTCTGACCATTGTCTACTGTACTCTGGAATTACTAGAAATAGGGAGACAATAGGAGTATAGCTAACAGGATTGCTGTTCAAACTCTGTTGCTTTTATGGTCTTTTCATTTAAACTTTGCAAGGCATGTGTTGGAAACCAATATGAGATCAACCTTAGTGTCTTGATAGACTATGTCATAGTATGCATATATTGGTCAGTAAAAATGCAAAGTTAACATACCCAGGCTGGAAATTGGAGCTGAAGGCAGATGCAAAACCTGGTAAAACTGGCGATGATGATGGAACCCCAACTGCTGCTGCTGCCGCTGCTGCCTGCAGCGGTGCCACTGACGCCACTGAAGACGGAGTGGCCCCAGGTATTCCCATGAATGAAGGTAGCACAGGACTCCCAGCACCATGCCCCCCTGACACACCCAGTCCAGGGAAGGCAGTGGGGTTAGGCCCAGGCGTAAGGCCTGGGAATATAGAGGGGGCAGAGGTGAGGCCTAGACCAAAAGGAGAGGCTGCATTTGGGGTAGCACTGGGAGCCAAGCCTGGATACATGGACGTTGGTGGGTGGTTGGAAATGTTGGTAGTGGGAGGTAGTGTGGGCATGGATGTAGGGAGGGTGGAAGGAGGAATAGAGGAAAAAGGTGACAGGCCAGGATAATGAGAGGGTGCTGGGCTGGAAGACAGTGCTTGAAGGCCGGCGATAGCAACAGGACTAGGGAGAGAGACTTGAGGAGAACCTGATGGGTGTGATAGACCCAAGGAACGTGCCAGGGCAGCCTGTGCAGAACCTGGTGCCACCAGTGAGCTAACAGACGGCGTGCCAGAGCGAGAGGTTCCCTTAAAAGCAGAGGGCACGGGGCTGTTACTGCCACTGCTACTACCCCCAGCGTGTCTGTTCAGGGCTCCAGCCATGACAGCCTGAGCCTGTGCATGATGGGCAGGGGAGGGTTTGGGACTGGGACCTGGGGTGGAACAGCTCGGAATTACTGGAGTGGAAGATCCAGGAGTGAGACACGGTGGTCCAGAGGGGGTGTAACTTCGGATCACTGACCCAGACGGGTTACCTGTTTGTGGGTGAATGCCAGGAAACACAAGTCCTGACTGGTGGTCTGTGGACTGGGCGTAGACCTTCGACTGAGTAGCGCCCATGGAGTTCGTCTGAGACAGGGAGTCTGGGCCGCTGCGCGAGGTGGCGGGAGTGCCTGGTCGGGAAACGCCATGGAAGGGGGAAGAGAAGGGCCCGCTGCCAGGGACTGGAGTTCCACAAGGAGTGCCTGAGGGGGTGTGGGCTTTAATGACAGATGAGGGTGTAGGTGTAACATGCCCACTGGGGGTCTGTGGTCCTGCTTTGATTACAGACGGGGAGGGAGCAGGGGAAGGCGAGGGGGCATTGGGGTTGTGAGAGGGCACCATTCCGGGGAAAACTGGTGTGATGGGGGTTGTGGGAGGCGGCTGGGCAGGAGAAGCCTGGGGTGGGACAGGGGTAGAAGGTGTGGAGCCATGAGGAATGAGGAGGGGCCCGCTGTTGACTCCAGGTGTGGTGTTTTGCGGATTGCCTGGTTTGGTATAACCTGGAAATTAAAGGAAAAACATGGTTGGCAAACAGGTAATCTGAAATGAAGACTACTATAATCAGACATCATGTTGGAATTAACTAAGAAAATTAACTGCATATCAGCAAGACAAAAAGTTGTGTTCAGGTACTTATTTCTGTGTATTTCTCATCAGTAATGTGATTGTTTAAAACAGATTTTATAGCAGGACATAGGCGGAACAGGTTAAAGCCCACAAATGATTGTAAAAGAGCCAATTCACTCACATATAAAAATGAAGAGAAGAAACAGAGCGAGAAGGAATAGCCAAAGAGTATCCCTACGTGCAACTTATTACATGGAAATTCAAATAAATTTTCAAGATTAAAATATGTCTTCTTTCTTACCTTTGGGGAAATGATAACACAACTGATTTGGTTTGGTAACTTCAAATGAACTTTCGTCATGTCTTAAAACTTTCCCATCTGGACATCTGAGTTTGGACTTTTGTCAATTTAATAAAACCAAGAGTCTTTGTCCTTATATCCAGAAATCTCCCCAAAGGCCATAAAAGATGTATTTCAATTGTGAAAACTGATAAGACGCTGTGTTGAAAAAATAAGTTATCCGAAGCGATGCATGTTAAATGCCAGCACAAAGCATGACTCCAGAAAGAAAAAAGATTATTGACATTAGTTTGAAAGTATTCCTGTTCAAGCAACCCAAACTCCATCCTCACAAATCACCAAAAATATACTTCTACACCGACTGACCAGAAAACAGAAATATCTGCAAGATGTGCCGCAATGAACGACCCCAAATCGATTTCAGTGAGACCACTGTTATTGTTATTTGTGTGTTGACTCATTTCCATGGTAGATTTTTAGGTCGTCATCTGTGGCGGTGTTCTGCAACACTACATTATACTGAAAGACGTTCTGGTGTAATTTTCTATTTAGTCCAACACACTGAAACAATGCTTTCTAACCCAGCAAGACGCCCTCAAACATGACACCAAATTAAATCAACTTCTCTCCAACAAGTCTAAAATAAAGGTTAAATCGAGGGATTGTATTTTTCTGGTCACTCAGTGTACTTCAACAGAGGTAAAAAAAAAAAGAAAAAAAAAGTGCATTCTTCAATTGATAAATAAGACATTAAACTGGAGAAGCACAGGTAAGCAACATGCCGGCAAGTTAGGCAGCAAGCTTCAAGAAGTGTCTATTTGCTCTCACGCGCACACACTCGCATCCATCGAATCATACCTGCTACTTTGTGGGTGGAGTTGTAGGGGGGAGGGGGCACGCTGGCTGTTATAACCCCTCCCATAGAAACAAGGCCTGCGTTGTTGTACGCACCTGAGTAGCAGTTGCACATATTAACAGTGTCCACCACGCGTACATACGCACACATACAAAAGAATCACACACAACGCACCCCACTACTAACTGTACCTCAACCAGTCCCAGATGCCAACAGTAAAATACACCTGGCTATGGCTATGTGCATCCCTCAAAGCAGCATTATTGACTCCTCAGTAGTCTTGCAGCTCGATAAGTAACTTTTTTTAAATCACTGACAGATTGTATTGAATATTGCACAGGGCAAGTAAAGAGAAGAAGAGGTGTGTTTAACTGCTCTTACTTGGTGCGATGGTGGCATGGGGTCGGCACGGCGGTATAGGGTAAGGAACAGGCCGATGAGGGTTGTAGGACGACGGAAACTAAAAACATAAAAACAAAACGATTAACTGAATTGCTCACTTCTGTCAAACTAGAATCTGTAAGTCAAACACCAAAAATGGATTAAAGGCAACTTACACACTGATTAGAACACAAGGTGAGAACCAAGAAGACAATTTTAAAAAAAGAAATAAATCACTGTTTTGTCAGTCAAGCTGTGGAGCATTTTAACGGAGCAGATGGTGCAGCAGGTTTTTCTTTTTTATTTTTTTAGAATCTTTCATAATCTCATCAGTCACCAGAACATTATATTGAAATAGCTAGAGTGCAGAGTGCGTGTGTTCTTACTCATATATCTGTTCTGTTTGCATTTCTATTGTTCGGCTACGGCCAGGCCACTGAGCACCCTCACCAATCATTAGCTTACATAACCTTGCATGACAGCTTCATCATGTGTAAGTAATGTAATTAGTCATGTGAGGCCTTATAACTCTGTCATTAGTATTCTCTGCGGCATCCTGGCTCTGTTACATTATCCTAGTCTGTGATTCTAGAGCTTACAGGTTTGAATGGTCCTATAATCCGGGAAGCGATTCCTTTCCCCTCCATGCTGTTTGAGGTGTCGTCTTTCTTCTCGCCTTCTTTTTTAATGGGAGGGATACCCTGTAATCAAAAATGGTTTGGGTTACTGTGTGTAGAAAAACATTACTCTATGAAACTTTTTCAACAGTTTATTCTACTAAAGTTACATGACAAAAAAAAACTAATTCCAAATCATCTATTTATGAGCAAATCAATTATTTTGTATTATTTTGTAATTCTTGTTTAATTAGTTTAATTTTTATTTAAGCTAATTAGCTAGTATCTGTTCACAAACTTCCGACAAAGGTGAAAATCTTTTAGCTCAAGACTCTTTTCTACTTTCAGGAATGCTCGGCATAGTTCTGCACATACTTACAGGGAATGTGCCAGTGACCAAGCTGGGTCTGCCTTTAGGGTATGGATTTCCTGGTATCATTCCACAGGAGGAGATCATGGCTACAGGAGCTTTGCAGCCAACCTTACACACCTAAGAAGACACAAAGATGATTGTATGTATAAGCAATAAACTATTAAAAATTAAAGGAACAAGGGTAAAGCATTTACACACGTACCCTGTTAGTTTGGATGTTTGACTTCAGTTTGTATCGTTACATTTTTAACCGCATTATTGCTTGCCTTGTCAATCCCGTACGTTTGTCTTTTAGGACTTTGTGAGAAGGACCTCACAAACTCTTTTAACACCTAGAAATGAGATTAACAAATAGACTAACCTGCCTAGAGCACAGACGCCACCAAGAAGATGAATTTTTAAAGGTGCACCAACCTGTTCCAGTATCCTACGAGCACGCTTCTTCTCAGACAAGTGTATGCGAAACAGATCCTCCACAGGGCGATAATTCTGAGCATCTGAAATGTTTCTGTATGCAAACAGAGACATTCAATGATTAGTCGGTTAGGAGATATTACACTACAAAATTTGACCGACAGTGTTGCAAAAACAGTTCAGGCTTCTTTCAAAATTACTCACAAAGCTATCAGTTCCAGGACAATCAGTCTGTCCTTTGAGAAGGTGAAGCAATTCAGGATATTCGCGACTTTGGTTGTAGGGATTGCAACCATTTTCTAAGGGCAACAGATGGAGAAACATATTTCAGTAACACTTTAAAACATAACAGTTATGGATCCAAAATTACTAAAACCAACTGTTACTCACGTGCTGCAGAGCTTTGACTGCTTTGATCTGAGGTTCTGCCCATGAGAAGTACTTGAGTATTTCCATCACCTGCAGATGTTTAGGACATTGTTACAGCTTACAATAACACTACAGCTACAGCGTTTGAGTACGGGAGTGGCGAAGAAGAACCATGAACATTTTGACAACATCCTCTATTAATAAAAGACACTGTGTAACACGAGCTGTCCTCTTTTAGTTGCAATCACACCTTTATCTTGTGAAAAAATATAGCTGCACACAACAAATCTAACAAAGTTTCATAATTAGAGTTGATTTAATATGTATAATAAACTATAATTGACACATAGTTCAATTTACTTAAGAATTACATTTGAAAATATACCCATATACAGAGCTGGTTGTAAAGGTAAAGGTCCAATATTGTGCTCCCCCGTCAGCAAATCAATGATCGTCTCACAATTTTTCAGGGCATAATGCTGCAAAAACTGTTATTTTTTAATAACTTTGGTTCTGCATAGGCCCATGCCCTCTTCAGGAAGACAACTCTCTCTATATACGTAAATGAGGAAAGCTTTATTGGGAATTCTGCCTTATTAAAGTTCAGTCTATGTGAGCACAGAGCACAGAAGGGAAGTAAACAGATGTAAAAGACTGGCATGGCTGTGTTTTGGTTGCACTCAAGCAACATTAAAACACACTAACCTACACTCAGGACTGCATACTTACAATCAAAGCTCAACGTAACGTTAGTCACATTAGCCGTACAATATGCTAACACCACCACACTAACGAATGTTGTTGCTGTGACATTGCCATCAATAGTAAAAGTAATCCACTGGGTACTTCATTCCCTCAGGTGCTGGGAGTGCTTAAGATTCTTGTGTTCACTCTTGCAGTCCACAGCATAAAGTTTGGTGTGCTTTATTCATGACAGAGACACTGAATTGTTAGAAGCAGCTCTAAAAGGCAAACAAACAAACATGATGGACTGCTGATCCTGGATGGCTCACCACCGGGCAAGGACCCACTTATAGAACGTTTGAGAAAATGACGATTGGTTTCTTAGTTGATGTACAGCAGTTCAGTCAAATTCACACGAGCTCGTAACATCTTAACAGCATTTATTTTATACCTTCAATTTGATCATCACAGAAAACAATAAAAATGGATTTTCACCACATGGTAGTTTTTTTTTTTTGTTTTTTTTTATGCAATTATACTTTTTTTTGCATATGCATGTTAAATCATCATGACTAACACAAAGTTCAATTTACTTTAGCATTTGAATTTAAAGTCTATCCAGCACTGTTAATAAGTGGCCCAACATGAGGCAAGAATTTTTCGATTTTTTTTTTTTTTTCATGTCACTTAAGAGCTTTGTCACATAAGTTAAGAGCAAACATTGCAGTGCTGCTGTTGGGGCACTTACCTGCTCACTGGAGAAATACCCATGCACCTGCTCAATGGCTCTGATCCGCTGATCGGTCAGGACGCACTAAAACACAGAGCAAAGAGTCACCGAGGCTTGAAGCTGAAACGATTTCCAATATTAAGTCGGACAGAAATTGTCCTACAAGACGACGCTTACCTTTCTTATCTCGTCCAGGACAATGTCAAATGATTTCTTATCCATGTTTGCTAACTTAAACAAACGCTTTGACAATGAGCAGTTGCTATACCACGCTATTGGTAAATACACAGTTTATATTACAACAAATGAGGTCAAGTAAGATAAAATGTATCCGGGTGACTTTACATCTAAATAATCTACTGACCCCTAGTTACCGATTTAAATTCATAATTCTGCGAAAGCACGTTTGTTTAAAGCAATAATTATTCGCAATAAGTTATTTAAAAACCGCATGGTGATTCGAGTCGTTGCACACGATGTAACTTTTCCGCCCGTGAACAATGACTTCCAAACAAGAGAAGCTGTCTGCAGAGCAGAACCTGTCTGCACCAGATTTATCCGCAGCTAACAACAAGCTAGCTAGCAGGAGCTACCTCAATTCCGAGCACAGCACAACAAAAACACACTAGAAAAGACGAAACCGATATTTGCACATCTGTTCATCCGAGCTTAATTTAAATCCCTTGCTGGCGATATTACAATAGGGACTTAAACATATACAAATTAATGAAAATCTCAACATAACGCGCTAGGAAAGACACTAGCGTCTGACAGCTGGCGCTAGGAACGTCACTCCGAGAGGACCCCTCCGAGACAGCCGGTCAGAAAACAAATCGTGTACCAAGAACTGTAAAAATAGCAAAGTCACAGATAACTCAATTTATATATATCAATAAAATAATATATTTTAACCATAATAATAATAAATTCAATTGAATTAAGCATTTATTGTATTTTATGTTCAGTTTTAGTATTTCTTTACAGGCAGTGTCAGGCCAATCCTGAACAGCTTGCAGGAAGTAAACATAACATGAATCTGAGCAGAGGAGTAGGAGAGGAAAAGGGAGAAATCTAAACTGCTTTTGCATTCAGACAAAAATGGATCGATTTACGTGGACAAATTCGCACTTAGAATTAAATGAAACTTATGTGATCGAGCAGGGAGGTGTCAGACTGTACGACGGCGACGAAAAGGTGCGTTTTCTGATCGCCACATCTATGGCCTGGTACAACAACGCGGCAGCTAAAACTTATTTGAAACAATGTTCTTTGTGTATCACTGTAGTTTCAGGTGGTTAGATGTGTAGTTTAAGGTGACTAGACCTCTTAAAGTGAAACGGGATGTGAAGATTGCAAATAATAAAGTCTTTTTTGTCGTACCAGGCTAAGCTGAATGTCGGAACTGCCTTTTTGACCACCCATCGGTTGATCTGGAGTGATATCAAATACGAGGTAAGACCAGTGAGAGCTGCTGTTGTTGCTCACAGGCTTTTTGCATTTTGTGTGATGACTTCTGTATTTCCTTTGCCATGTATAGGATTCCTGCCTGTCCATCCCCCTGTCACAGATCATCTTCTTTGAGGAGGAGGCAGCACGAATAGGAAAGAGGTAAGCATCACTAAAAACAAGATAAAACCTTGGGTTTTAGTATGACATTGCACACATATATATATGTAATATAGATAATATGACAAGTGTATAGCATATATATGACATTTAAAAAACATTTTTGAGTAACTGGGGTTAAGTTTGCTCACTTCTCATTACAGCTGAACAATATTAGAAAAAAACTGACATTGTGATATTTTCTTTTCTTTGATTTGCAATGGGGCTGCAAGGTGGCTTGGTAATGTATAGATCACTGACCTTCCTTTAGCACCATAATTCGGTCAATATTGGTGGTTTTGAGTGTCTCAAATGCCACTGGAGGGATTTTTATGGAATATCCATACAGACAATCACTTGGGGGCTGCAAGGTGGCTCAGTGGCACCATTGCCTCCCAACAAGAGGTCGCCGATTCGCGTCCTGGTGAGGACACCCGGGATCTTTCTGCGTGCAGCGTGGGTTCTCTCCGGGTTCTCCGGCTTCCTCCCACAAGTCCAAAAACATGTTGAGGTTAATTGGTGATTCTAAATTGTCCGTAGGTGTGAATGTGAGTGTGCTTGGTTGTCTGTCTCTAGGTGTAGCCCTGCGATAGACTGGTGACCTGTCCAGAGTGTCCCCTGCCTTCGCCCTAAGTCAGCTGGGATGAGCTGATTGAAATGCCCAAATAAATTACATACATTTCCTTGTGTAGTGGCAACAATTCCAAATACACCACCGACACAGTACCTCTTTATGGCTGACGTCATGCCTTCTGTAGTTCAAATATTTCCATACAATTGACATTGTGACTCTTTTTACAACCAAATCTTTCTTTCCAGTGTTTGTTTACTTTTCCTTGCTCATTTTTTTCTGTGCATATGTGGAGCCTGCATCCCAACAAACTTGGTTTTTTGTAAATAATGTAGAAAAAAGTCAGTGTATCTAAGAACAAATTGAGTAAATTATTTTCTATTTGACAGACTTTTCTTGTGGATTAGCCACATAAAATGAGAGTCTTGTGAGTTTTCTTTTTGTATCAAGCAGCAAAAAAAGTAGCATTATGTATTTGAGTTCATTTGCTTTACTCCATGTTGCATTTCCTGTGATGTTATTGTTGCACATGCACACATCCATATATTGTGCAGCCCTACTTGTCATGGAGATGTTTTAGTTGTCAATTATGCAAAGCGTGTAACTTTGGAAGAGGAATCTATTATCCTGTAGACTGTAAGATGTGCTTAAAATCTCTGATGACTACAACAATGAAAAGCAGAAAACTGTATCTCTCAGTGATTGCTGTCTCCTATTTCTTAGTGCAAAAATAGTCATCCACCTGCATCCAGCACCTGCCAACAAGGAACCGGGTCCCTACAAAAAGAGCAAGTTCTCCTACATAAAGCTGTCTTTTAAAGAACATGGGCAGATTGAGGTAGTCTTTTTGTACTAACTTTGATCTTTAATGCTTCATTCCTGACTATTTGGTACTGACTTGGTGTCATATGCTTGCAGTTTTACAGGAGGCTTACAGAGGAGATGACTCTGAAAAGGTGGGAGAATACACCGGTTTCACAATCCATCCCCCCACCAGTAGCTGGATCTCGGGTGAGGAACTGAGCAAACATACTTCCTCATTTTATTGTAATCTCTTCATTTCCTTTGTCTTATATTTATGGAGACTTTTATACTGAGATGGCAGAACTCTGACATTCAGCTAATAAACTAAATGTAAGATTTGCTCTCAGTTTAAACTATGTTCCACAGGATGGCAGTGTTGCCACTTTATTTTGGGGCTTTTCTGTTAAGTTATGAAAAAAAGTTTTACCTCTGACTATTTTTTCTAGGATTTTTCCTAAAAAGATTCAGTATCCATATGCATTAAATCAGGTTTAGTTTGCCACAGAAGCAGCACTCTGCTTTGCAGAGTCTGTAAAATTAGGCCTTCGTGTGGACAGAGACTTCACCTTTATTAGATCATGTGTCTTCAAATTAAATTATGTTAATCCTATTTTTTTTAAAACACTATAAAATAATAATCACCAAAATTCACTTATGTGCCATAACAGCAACTGAACACCACTGCTTCCCTCCTTGCTGTTTCTTTATTCCTTGTTCTTTGAGGCTTGTTCCCAACTTTTGTTGTAGGCTGTGTTTTACTATGTGTGTTTTTTTTCTCCCTTTGTGGTCATCTAGGGAGGACATACACGTGCAGTGGGGATTGTTGGTATTGAAAGGAAGATAGAGGAGAAGAGGAAAGAAATGGATAAGAACATTTCTGAGGTACAGTAAGACAAAAAAAAAATCAGCGCCTTGTCGAAGTTTTGTGTTCAGCCAAAACCATTTGGACTAAAATGACCGTGGATATACTGGAAGTACGGTGTGGTTCGGTTAAAGAAATTTCTATGAATTTTTAGAACAGTTTTTTTGTTTTTTTTTCGGCTATGAATCTTGTCACCATCGGAATTTATTGTAACTCACATGAATTCAAGCTGACCACGACCACAACTATGTGTTTGTACGACCTCCATTTGCACATTCTGTATGTTTGTCTTGAATATGCATTCATTTAAATGAAAATGACATTTTAGCTTCACAAAACTTACGACATAAAAAACAAATGAGGGTTTAAAGTGAGAGAGAATGTTTGATTTTAACATCTGACAGAGAAAGGGTGGGGGGGATGCTGTGGAATGATATTTAAATTGTATCTGTAACCATGAGGTTTTGTGGTTTACTTAATTGTGAACATTTTTGAGCACCATTACCCATTTAGCCTCTGTTTTTTTTATTCAGGCCTTTGAGGACCTCAGTAAACTGATGGTGAAGGTAAACAATGCTTTATTGACCTTTTTTTTAGGTTGTATTTCATCTGTCGACACTTGTTTAAACATCCTGACTATGAATGTCTCACCTGTGGTAAGCTTGTTCACTGCAGTGAGATTTGATGAATGGTTCTGTCACTAACAGGCCAAAGAGATGGTGGAGCTGTCCAGATCTATAGCCAACAAGATCAAAGACAAGCAGGGGGACATAACAGAAGATGAGGTGAGAAGTTTCAAAGCATAGGAACAGAAGGGAAATTACAACACATGCACTTTTAATCTAAAATGCTTGTAGGTAATAATCTCAGATGTCAGTGAATAATCAGATGATCCAAACAACTTTTCTCATCTAAGGCCTGATGTGCAAATATAACATAATAATGTTACTGCATGATGATTTTTTGTAGTTTTCTTTTTTATTAACAGTTATGTTCTCTTTTGTAGACAATACGGTTTAAGTCCTACCTTCTGAGCATGGGTATTGCTAACCCGGTTACCAGGGAAACACATGGATCAGGTACACATTATCACCTACAGCTTGCTAAGCAACTGGGAGACATGCTGCAGGCCCCACTAGAGGTTGGTGGGAGTTGTACATTTTCTATCTTCATAAGCTCAGTCATAAAGTATTTCGATTCGTCCTCACTTACTCCCTCGTCCGTTTTAATCCCTTACTCTCTTTCGATCACTCCCTTCTCCCTCAGGAGCGCGGCGGTATGATGGCTCTCACGGAGGTGTACTGTCTCGTCAACCGCGCCAGAGGGATGGAGGTGATGCTCACACCAGTGCACGCGCAAAACATGCGTTCAGCAATCTGTACGCTCACACATTTTTATTTTTTCCACAGCTTTTATCTCCAGAAGATTTGGTAAACGCCTGCAAAGTGTTTGAGTCACTGAAGCTGCCGTTGAGGTGAGCGTGAGTCGTGTTTGACGTTGTATTGTGTTGTTTAAATTATCATTCGTTTGAGTTTAGACCAGACTGCGTGTTTATTAAAGGAGTATAGGGCTGGGTCGGTGCCTCATTCACAGAGGCCAGGCTCTTCCTGCCTGCCTTCCTGTTGTTGGAAGGGCTGCTCGGGCCTCCGCAGCTGTCATTTCCTGTCACTTCCCAGCATTTCAAAAGAAACACTGGCCTGTTTCCCTGTTTGCTCACAAACTGGTTGCTGGTCTTTAGCGATCTCTCCGTGTTAGCTGAATAAAACACACTCACACATATATATACTCTCTATCTTTCACGTGTCTTTTCCTTTGTGCAGACTGCGTGTGTTTGATAGTGGTGTGATGGTGGTCCAGCTGCAGTCTCACAGCGAAGAGGAAATGATAGCCTCAGCACTGGACAATGTAAGCTTCAACTGCTGCAGACATCATAGTGGCTGTGACGTGACCATGCCCCACATTGACCAAACACTATGTTCCACTGTTCTGCATCCTTGTTCATACAGGTGTCCGACAAAGGTTCCCTGACAGCAGAGGAGTTTGCAAAACTCTTGGGTCTTTCTGTTCTTTTGTCCAAAGAGCGGTGAGTTATCTCATAAATTCAGATAAATAATCAAACACTAAAATGAAGAGTATTCACAACACAAAAGACTCATCATGTCAATCTGTTTTCCCTCAAAATATTGTGGAACAATGAGAAAAATGTCTTTGTTTCTCATTATATAGTTCTTCACCGTGCATATTTTTCCTTCTTCCTCAATTCTTTCTTTCTCGTTCCCTTCACATTTCCAGATTGTTGCTTGCTGAGAAGATGGGCCACCTGTGTAGAGACGACTCAGTCGAGGGTTTGAGATTCTACCCGAACCTGTTCTGACCTCTTTTCCGTGATTATCGTTCAATAAAACTGTGCAGCGGCTGTTTCTGCTGATAGACGGATGCATTAAAACAATCATCTGACCTCTACACGTGCAGCAGGGTGTTTATACCGCTATACTTGCCGTCGTGTTCTTACCCAGTATCAACTTGTGTTTGGTTGGACGTTTGAATGGTTCTGATGCACTGTAAATCTATGTAAAACTTTTTTTTTTAAATCTCGAGCTACAAGTTGACCAGACACTGTCTTCAAAATCAGTCGAGTGGATCAGTTTCCAGAAATAGTTTGACAAACGGCAAAAATTGCGTATAAAGCGAAGGGGATTTAGATTTACTCTGCTCGGTAGAGTGACTGTAATGCGTGTTAGTAATAAATGGGTTTGGGATTGTGTTCTATGCTCATTCTTCCACGATCTTGGGTCACCTTTTTACAAGTGTTCTGTTATGAAAAGCTAGCCATTTTCAAAGAAAAATATGCATATATATATTAAAAATAAATGTTTAACTAAAGCTCGCTCTGGTGTCTTAACTTGTGAAGAATGCAAGAACAAGTCAGATGTCCAGATTTCAAAGAATGGAGACACCCTTCTTGACCTTTCCTCTTCTGTGGGTCTTTTGATCTTGTCCATCAGAATTGATTGTTATCTCCTTTAGGGCTAAATGAAATGGGGAAACTACCTCACTGCAAATTTTCTGAGAATTTGATTTGCAGTATAATTTTTAAAGTCATGCTTCAGTATTCACTGTGTAATAGATTTAATACCAGCGATGGAGCGGTGCCACATGAGATAGCATCAAAAATGTGACCGAGGACAGCATGAGTTTGTGAAACCTTTGATGGGGTCAGACAAAGTCATTATGATATATGTCCTTCACTATGCCTTTTGCTAATTGCATTATTTCAAATGATAATTTCAATTTGAAAGCGATTAATCTGTAATCTTAAGTCCTCCCTAAAGCAAACCTGTGGTGAATGTAACAGTATCTAAATTCAAGACCGGACAAGATAGTTAAAAAAAAAAACCCAGTTTAACCTCCTGTCAATCCAGTTTACAGCATAGATATCACGGAACACGCTGCCAAATATTCAGGCAGTTAAACCTTCAAGTGGTGAGAATGTTTTATAGAAATGTGAATGTATGGAAGCCAAACTAAAAGTTAAGCACCTTTAGAACACGCAAAGGGGAGTTTTGAAAACACCTGCTTGTAAATTCTATCACTTCATTATATCTCCTCATAGGATAGTGTGTAAAAAGCAACAGCAGAAGTAAAAATGAATGTGTGAAACATCAACATACTGTAATAAATACAACCTGATCTGAGTATATCTAGGAGTTACACTCATGATGGGCATGTTGCAACTGTGCCTCTATCACCGTAGAGGTTTTTTTTTTTTTTACATGGGGATTAGAAAAGTTCTTTGTTCCCATTGTGAAGCGAGCTGAACGGTGTTCGGCCTCCAGAGAAGCTTCCTGTTTTCTGCCAGCTCTCTCTGGAGGAAAAAGTGAAGGTCTGCAGAGCTGATTAGATTAGCCTGCCATGTGGCTCACTTATTGATTGTGGAATAAGTCAATTGGTTCAGGAAATCTTGAGAGTTGAACTGGGCCAGGTCTGATCATCATAATTACAGATTCCTGCATGACACTGAACGAGTTCTTTCTGCACAAAGAATTTAACAACTCCTGAATGGTTTTAGTGTCTTCTCATGTAAGGGAAGTTTTTCATTCATGAGTGTAGAAGAAGTTGTTCTATGTGTGACGTGATTACACTACTACCCTGCATTAAAATGTTTATTGTTACCCAAACGCTTTGGCAATTAAAATCCACAATTATTCCCAATGTGCCTCATGAATATAAGCAGCCACTAGTTTTTATATCAAACCTTTTCACACCTCCTTCTATTAAAAACTGATTTATGTGCCGCAGAGAGGATTGAACTACACAAGGCTCACATATTCACATATTTCACCATGCAGCGACTTTCCTCAGGCACCTCTTTTGATGATCCAGGTGCCTGGAGTTAAACCTGATAACAATCTCCAGAGTGATTCACTTCACATAATGCAGCGCTTCAACTGCCAGAGCTGGAGGAGGATCTTCTATTGGTGCAATAGTTTGTCTATAATGCCTTTTTTAAAATAGTAACATAATGGGAGTGTTAAGTTTCTGAAAGAGCCAAAAGTGTCAGAACCACTTCCAAACCACTGAGTGTCCTGTTATTTGTTTTTTTGCATGTTTTGGTTTTTTATTATCCCCATAGGCAGGAATGTGAAGGGCTTGTATTAAAAGACAAATAACATAAAGTTTTGGCATGATTTGAAAGGGAGGCATTCGTTATTAAGCTTTAGAAGTGCTGTAGCCTACGTTTGTATTATGAGAGGGGAGGAAAAAAAAAAGAGAAAGTTGCACATAATAATATTCAACCCGCCCTTCTGCCGCTGCTGCTGACCGTCAGAGCAGCTGGAGCCGCAGCGCTCACCCACACCGAGGCGCGTATCGGGCAGAAGAGATGTGTGAGGAGCGCATGGAGCGACACTTATTGCGGGTTTTGTGTTGGGAAAAGTGGCGAGGAATAATACTTCACTGAGTCAACGAGACATGTGAGTAAAACGGCTTTATTTTCCAGCGAGTTTACACAAAACAATGCAGGCTGCTGTGTTTCCCAAGTTCAATTGCATCTGTATTGCTAACCATGTATGCTAGCTTTAGCTAAAAGTATTAGCACTAATTTATAGTTATATCTATTGTATACACTTAACCTGCATTTTTTAAAATTATTATTTCTCTTTGCTATTTGATCTGATAAAATAGCAAAGAGAATAATAATAAAAAAACATAAAGAAAATAAATATACATATACAAAATATTTTAAAAAATAACGACAAATAACAATAATGCAATAATATTAATTTAAAAAATAAAAAAATCTTACTGTGATAATATAACCCAAACTGTGATGTCCAGGTAGGTCTTAGGAGGTTGAAGTGGGTTTACTAGTGATATGACAGATTTATTAGTAAGTAAAATGTGTTACAGTCATCCTTTATACACTAAACCATGAATGATGGCTGGAACAGAAATGAACATTATCCTTTTTGTCCATTACTCAGCTTTCAAATTATGACTAATGCTTTATGGTAAAGTTAAAAAAAAATGGTTGCACCAATTTGTTTATCAAATCCAATCAAACTTTATTTATAGAGCACTTCTCATCCAAAGAAGCAACACAAAGTGCTTTACAGCATTTAAAAAGATTGCAAAGGGGGGAAAAGCCAATAAGTTATTGTGTTGTTAAGATAATAAGCTTAAATTAACTTTTTTTTAAAGAAGTACTGATTACCTAATATGACATTCAAAGCAGCCTTTAATAGTCTAAATTTGAGTGATTTTTTCTTTTTGTCTTTTTTTGTGGGACAGAAAATCATTNTGTGATGTCCAGGTAGGTCTTAGGAGGTTGAAGTGGGTTTACTAGTGATATGACAGATTTATTAGTAAGTAAAATGTGTTTCAGTCATCCTTTATACACTGAACCATTAATGATGGCTGGAACAGAAATGAACATTATCCTTTTTGTCCATTACTCAGCTTTCAAATTATGACTAATGCTTTATGGTAAAGTTAAAAAAAAAATGGTTGTACCAATTTGTTAATCAAATCCAATTAAACTTTATTTATACAGCACTTCTCATCCAAAGAAGCAACACAAAGTGCTTTACAGCATTTAAAAAGATTGCAAAGGGGGGAAAAGCCAATAAGTTATTGTGTTGTTAAGATAATAAGCTTAAATTAACTTTTTTTAAAGATGTACTGATTACCTAATATGACATTCAAAGCAGCCTTTAATAGTCTAAATTTGAGTGATTTTTTTCTTTTTTTCTTTTTTTGTGGGACAGAAAATCATTAAAAGTCATAATAATAAATATGTGCGTGAGTATTCATCACTACTAAATGTGATAAATAATAAGCACATTTACATCCCTTCTTTTATTGGCACACCTCTTCTATTTCCTTTGAACTGTCTTTTATTTTGTTTTGTTTTTTTAAAGTTTCTACTTTTTCCAACACTGTTTTGGTTGATAATTTTACCAATTTTATTTTGCCGCCTTGTGAAGCACTTTATAACTAGATTTTTTAGTTGCGATTAATCTTTTTTTTTTTCCAAATAAAAAAAACCCTTAATTATTAAACCTGCTATTATTATAACTGCTTGTTGTGAACAATGCCCACTCCCCCATGAGGACTTCTGTGGTGACGGCAGCTCCCCCTTACCCATTGTGAAAATGGAAGGAAGAGGAAGACGCCACAGTAAATCCAGAAAACTCATGTCCACTGTGACATTCTCAGGCCTTCCTGTTTGTAAATGCGAAGGAGTCAACTTCTTCTTCCATGCCTTCTCCTACACACACTGCTGCCTTCTTGTAGGTTCTTCCTCATTCTTTCATGTTGTGTTCTGCCTCTGGTTTCTAGAGGTCAGGGATGGTGGAATAGGACGGTCATGTGGTGTAGGAGAAAAAAGAGGCACAGACATCGGAATGCCACAGGCTGTCTCACTGCTGCCCTTTCTTCTGGTGCTCATGGGATATGGTGAGTGTCATGGTCTCTTTTGAATGTTGGAAAAATTCAGACTTTTAATGCAACGGGTAGAGGACATATCAGCCTTAATATGTGCATCAGATTATTTCAACTGGTGAGGGAAGCTGAGTTGAAGGAAACAGTAGACAAGTGAATGGTGGTAATGGAGGGTCAGCCTCTTCCTTTTCTTGTACCCCCTTAGCTTTGTGAGGATGTGAGGTTTGAATAACAGGATTTACACCCTACACAACACAATAGCTCTTACAATAACATGCTACTACTTCTGTTTCCCAGAGTACTACTCTGATACTAATATACGCAGAGGTTCTGCTCATCAGTGAACTACTGATTGGTTAACTTACTGTCTGTATGATGTGTAGCTTTCTGATGCATATCAACTGTTACTGGGTGCTGATCCACTGTGTCTGTACCGAGAACTAGTATTTATCCGTGCTGAGTAAATGACATCATTTGTGGTTGTGCGGTCATTGGATGTGATGCTGGATATTGAAAATATATCAGCAGGCTTATAAATAATGTATTCTTACACAAGTGACTTTTTTTTCTAATATGAATCATTATGCACAATTATGTTGTCCAAAGTGACACCACTTAGCATTTAATTCACATTTACCACAGAATGCTTTCTAAATTTTGTGAAGATGTCAACTAAAACTGACAGTCCCCGTTTGACTTCCACTTTTCATAGAGTCCAGTCATTATTAGATAGTCACGTTTTGCCAGCCCATTCTGCAGAACAGTAGAAGAAAAAATACTCTGTGTTTCTTTAAGCCCAACACATTCATGATGGGCGAGGCGACGTGAAGGATGCAGCTTTGGTGTTTACTCAAAATAGTGACAGGTGGAATTGCTTTAGGTGCATGTAGGGAGATGAGAGACTGTAAAAACAAAAAAACTAGCAGGGCTGCTTTACGGCAAAACCTGAAATTTTTAGTGTGGTAGGTTGCTGCGTGGAGGTTGTTGTAGTTTCTGATAGTGAAGAAAACGGTAACACACTGAAAGCATAAGGGAAAGACAAAGCCGCGTGAAATTAGTGGCCAGTAGGAGGCTTATATCTGCGTCCTGCATCCAGTATTAATAAGACAGCTTTACCTATGAATAGCAACACCTAGACAGATAGTAGGACATACCACTGCAAGAAAATGTCATATCATTGAATCAGAGCAGTAAATGGAACCAGAAATACACCCAATGGGCAGAGTAACAGCTGACAAAGTCACATCACAAAACTTACATGAGTACAAAAAACTCAATAAGTACGAAATCAGTGAGACTACATTTTACCCATCGTGGACATATTCAGAAGTTGTAGGAAACATTCATGAACACTTGGTGAACTCTTCTGTCTCTTTTTCCTTATCTACTTCTGTGCATTCTTTCCTGTAGCTTTTGCTGGGCTCAGCATCTGGCCCTCCTTCCACGTTGCCCTTAGCAACGGCAGCGTGTTTGTGGACTTCAGTGCAAAATCCAGCAACGGCAGCATCCGCAACATGAGCCTGTCTCTGGTCAACACGGAGACCAACACCACCCTTCTGACCAGGACTCTCCCCAACAACCAACCGACCGGCAGGGTGGAGTTTGATTGTTCCTGCTTCCTATACGCGGGAACTTTCCGGTTCCTGCTGAGGCAGACCAGCATCACCATTGTTTCTCGCGCTAATGGAACCGACAGCGTAGAGAGCACTACCTGGTGGTGGAGTTCAGAACTACAGGTGCAGTGGCCCACCTTTCACATTGCTGTGGACAGAGCTGGAAACCACTCAGGATCTTTTCAGGCAAGACTAACAAGATCTCAACCTTAACTTAGAATGTTGTCTTATTGTGCTATGAAATGATGATCAGAATGGTTGTCATCTTTTACCCCTTTCCAGGTTGGGATATCCACCAATGAACACTTTCAGTCTTGCTCCAGCGGCATTGACTCGGCGCTCTTCCTGGAAGTCAGCTACATGGAGTACAACCAGATAGGGCGAAACAGTATCGACAAGGTCAGAGCCAGGACTCGACACCCGATCAAACCTCTCCGTTCCCAGAGCGTCGCACTGCCCTGTGCCTTCCCATTCACTGAGAAAGACTTCATAAGAGTGGCTCTACGGTCCCCTCACACATCGCAGGAGGTGAAGAGCTCCGGACCTCTTTACCTGTCCCGTATATTCTCCTATAAACTGCTGGTGGAAAATGCCAACGCTTACAAGAGTGGCTGTGAAGGGACTATGACTGTTAAAATGATAACCCCACCGTGTGCAAGCATCAATGGGAAAATACTGCTGTATAACGAGGCGGGCGTTGGAAGAGGTGTTGCTGTTTCCTCTGCAGTGATTGGATCAGAGGAGCCTTCTTCTCCTCCACTGGCTTATAACTGGCTGACTCAGGGAGAGAACGAGACAGAATTCAACTGCTCCCTGTTTTATCCAGGAAGAAATAAGTACTGCTTTCGCTTTGTTTTCAACTTCAGTCGCTCCCCTAGTCCAGCGCAGACTTGTCTGGTGGTTTACAGGAGTGCAGGTGAGATTTAATAGGTAGACACGTTCACATTTGGTAGCTGCCAAGAATACATTAACAATGCACTTCTGCTTGTCATTCAGTAGTGTCAACAGTGTGTCAAGGGTGCAGGGATTTGAGTTTTGAGGGAGTGAAAGAGTTGCTTTAGTTTATTCAGCCAGATTTTCCCAGATTGCTAAAAATCCAGTGTTGGATAAAACTCAACTGCTAGTTCAAGTATTTAATGATTAAAACAAAAAAAGTGCTTTTTTTAAAATGTTGCCTTGTTTTGTAGTTTGTAGTTACGACTATCTATTGATACTGATTTTGTGTGTATAAATGTTCTGTTATGTCCCAGCAGAATCATCAAATGAAGATTTCACACAATTTCAGTTAAAGTTACTTTCATTAGTTTGTTCTCTGTAAAGAGCAATAACCTCTTGAGACCCACCGTGGCTTTTTACAATGAAGTTAGGGTTAACTGGTATGTCCCAGTAATATGACAACATCACTCATTATCTGAGTTGTCAGATTTAGAGCCACTACGCTGGCATGTTCTCTTATGTTAGGAAATTGTGGAACTGTATATAATCATACAAAACCATTATGTCAGTGTCACCACAGTTTATCTCCACAACACACAAAGTAAGCCCTGTAACCTGCTGCCAACAGGTTGTGCCACTATTTATACTCTAAAAAATACTCTGTCCCTTTAGAGACACACAACTGGGCTATTCATAATAAAGTAGTCAATTATCTAATTCTCATTATAAAAAGATGCTTTGTACCCGTGTCCCCGCTTGGTCTGTTTTGAAGATTAACTGGTTTAAGTCATGGGATATGGTTGAGTCTTTTTCAGCTCTGTGTAGTAGTAATTTGCTATACAACCACTTGCATTTTATTACCTCAAAGTGGCCCCAGCATTGCATGAAAGTAGCCCAGTAAAAACCTCAATCTTTCTTGACAATATGGATGAGCATTGTGGGCTAGTTGGCATGCAATAATTGGGTAACTTAGAAAAATAGCAACACAGAGTTAAGGATTTTAAACATTACATTTATCTGCAATCTCACATTTGACTTGTAATCTGCAGAGTCATGGGGGCCCTGGCAGCCGTGGAGCGTGTGCAGCGTGAGCTGTGGAGAAGGGGTGAGGGAACGAGTGCGCGAGTGTGTACTGCCCTCTGGTGTGCGAGGGTTGCAGTGCACCGGCATGGTGAAGGAACAGTCCCTCTGCTCGCTGGAGAACTGTGTCGGTCAGTCCACTATACTACATCCAGCCTCTTCATTTTTGCATCCAACTTTCAGAAATCTGTCTGTTTTGAAGACTCATTGTTTGTCTTTGCTCCCCAGTGTCACCCTCTCCTTCTCCATCCCTCCCGCCTGTCGCTGTTGGAGCTACACCCCTGGGTGGTAACATGGTCGTGGTGGTCGGTATCTCCCTTTGCTTGGCCGTGATTATGGCCACTGTTGTGGTGACCGTGTGGAGAAAGTTTTGCCAGACCCCTCAGTGCAGCTCTGTCCGCAGAGGCTCCATGCATTCTCCTGGGGGTCGCAAGCTCTCAGATGAGGCCTCCATCTGTGGCCACAGCCTCCAAAGACCCAGTCTGTGTGACGGTCATGGCCCATCTGGGGGTGTGGGTGTCGCACAGAAAGACAGGCCTTCCCTGGGAAGTCATCCTGTCTCACAGACTCTGGTGATGCCACTCTCACAAGACCCAGAAAGGCTGTCTCCAACTGGTCAGAAGGTGTTGCCATCTATATTTGGGTATGTTTAAAATATTTTTATATTACTTTCATCAAGAACAGAACATTATTGTCAAACTTATTTTGTCACCTGCCAGTTGGAGAAAATGAGATACCATTGTTTGTCTAGGTACCGGTTGGCTCAGCAGCAGTTGAAAGAGATGAAGAAGAAGGGATTAAAAGAGGCCACACAGCTGTATCACGTCTCCTCAAGTCCTGTCCATGACACCATGGTTGAGACATCTGCCTCGCCCACCAGCTCGCCTATTAATACGCCGGGTGGATTTTCTCATTCTCCCCTCCCTTTGGGCCTGCACGATGATGCTAACCACAACCATTTTTGTATTGCAACTCCCATTTCTGAGCTGCCACCACTCAATTCTAGACTCACGCCGGACAGACTGAGTCCCAGAGTGGATCTAATCTTGGGTCCACCTGTCTCTACTCATGCGAGTGGGGGCAGTTCAAAATGGCGCGACCGCACCGCTGACTGGGTGGAAATGGTAGAGAGGAGCGGGTTAGCAGGTGCCAGGGAAGGAGGAGGAGATGCAGCAAGCGGAAACACCTTTCACAAGAATCCGTATTTTAGGCGGACGTCCAGTTTTAATGACACCAAATTCCAGCCACCGTCGTCTGCACAGTGCAGACAGTTCAGAGAAAGGAGCATGACTCAGGTCACCCATTCACTTATTATTTTATTTAGTTGCATTTGATTTATGTATTTGTAGATCTTACTAGTGCAGTAATTGGTCGAGATTACCAAACATTTTGTCACGCATTGTCCTTTTCAGGTGGGATCTCGCACTCTTCCTGAAGGAAGCTGCTGGAACAAAGGAGGATGGGAGAGACAACCATATCGCTCTTACCCCATTCCAGAACATGGAGCCTCAGAGTGGACCAAATCCAGACCTCAGAGGAATGACCAGAGGAAGCCCTGGATGGAAACGACGCTTTCTACTCACAATAATGAAGTAAAACACATAGGAACCAACACAAACAGCATGACAGCATCTGAGAAACATACCAAAACAGACTTCAATGGCACTGGGGAAAGACAAAAGAGTGGAGAGCCGATCTCAGGGATTGGGGGTCCGGCTGTGGGGCCTTCCGGTTCTCATGGAGTGAATCAGCTGAGTATAGAGCGGGCAGAGCAGAACTGGAACCGCCGCGGCCCATCGCCTATCCAGAGAAACATGCTTGCCAGGAAATTAAAGGAGGCTCAGTCCTGCTCTGGGGTCAAGGGCCGCCAGCGCAGCTCCACCTTCAGTGTATCATCTTCAGAGCAGAGAAAGAGTCGCTGCCGCTCTCTGCCGATGTCTGGAGACTACAGCAGCAGCGGTGGCTCGTCCTACAGGCTGAGTGAGGCAGAGCAGAGGATGCTGGACCTGGATCTGTCCTCAGTGTGTGTGCAGGAGGAGGAGTAGATCAGATCAGGTTTGTAGCTTTACACCTGAGGGAACCTTAGATTTATTGTTTACCTCAGCCTCTAAACTAAATCCTCCTCGTACATCTGTGTACCCACATATCAGTAAGGATTGTATTGTATTGTTACACATTTATCTATAAAATGGAGAGAAAAATGTTGATATTGTAGTTGTATTTTTCAGACAAGTTCGTTTGGTTGCATTTTTTATTATTTGTGTTTTTATATTGCAGTTATCATTGTAAATCTGTGTATAGTTCATGTAAAAAAAAATCTCTTTTCAAAACACTTTGCCATAATAAGTCACATGTAACATGGCCTTGTACCTGCATCTACATGCACTGGTAAGCACAAGCCCACAAACAGAAGACAGTTTTATTTTCTTATTCTGTGCTACCAAATGTGATGTTTTTTTTGTTTTTGTTTTTTTTTATATTGCTGTCAAGTCCCACTGTTCAGTACTGCTCTGTGGTGACAACCGCTCAATCTATGATGTGGTTTAGGGACATTTTTGAATGTGTGATCTGAGCAGTACCACATATTTTCCTGGAATTTGCACAAGTTAGAGCAACAGTGTTCGGTTGTAACTAGAGTCAAATATGAACACCAGTGAGGCATTGTAGCTGTTATGCTGTTTGTTTTAATGCTGAAATAATATACATTTTGTAGACAGAAATGCTCACGGAAAATGAAAAAATACTGTTTGATTAAAAAATGAAGAAAAGGGAGAAAATAAAATGTAAAGAACTGAAACATTACTATTAGTCTATGCTCTTATTTTTTAGCCTTACAGAAGTGAATACAGTGTTTTTCATATTCCCCCTCCTCCGCTGCCCGCGGTGTCCAAGAAAACCAGAGGCCGCACCTTCATGGCGGTGTGTCTCAGGGAATACCAAAGGCCTTTCCAGGTCCCCCACACCACGCCGTTGTCATACTCGGAGTTGTACTTCCCTTTGCGGTAGAAGTTTCCATTTAGATTGGCTGCATGACATCTGTAGATAGAATGGCAGTAAACTATTTCAATGTAATGTATTTTTTTTAAAGCTGCTACAGAAATGCAAATAGCTTCTGCAACAATCACAGAAAGAAAAATCACAGTGCAGGTCTCACCTGTTGAACCACCAACCTCCCTTGTTCTCTTGCGCACAGCTTCCATGACGGTAGCGGTCGTTGTCCTGTCAGTGTTTTCACAGTCATCATCATCATCTGTTACAAGCACCCTAAGAATATCAAATGGTGAAGAGGGATGGAAGACTAACCTGATCCTTGGTGCTGAACTGCATGCCACTGAGGCAGGAGGACCACTGCTCCACAACCCCACCACCACTACTCGTCAGTGCATCTCCGGCCGGCCCACTGTACTGCCCATACTGGAGGCGATACTTATCCTGGAATGGTGTTTAGAGCAAATAGTGTTTGTTGAGTGGATCTTTGGAGACAGAGGAGGAGTTATGTGGAATTGTTTTTTCTTACAGCCTCATTGGTGATCCTGAAGTTCTCATAAAATGCGTAGCTTCTCTTTCCATCCCAGTCCATCAGATCTATCTTCACCAGGTTGTTACCTTCAAGCAAAGAAAGCAAAAAAAAAGGAAGCAACCAATCAGACACAAGATGCAATTAGTTCAAATTAAATATAACACATAAAAGTATGTAACACAGGGACTTATATTAGGTTGTATTTGGGTTCGGAAACAGATGATTGCTAACCTTCTGAGAGCAGAGAATGAATGTGTTCATTCCCCAACCAAAACTCATCATTCCACAATTTGAATTCCCCAAAGCCGTCTCTGTAGTCCACCCAGTCTCTAAAATGAGAATCACGCTGGCGTATCATCTCAAATAAAACATCTGTGTGAGCTTTAGTTACATCTGCATTGTAATCATGCAGAACTTTGCAATGAATGTATGACTTTCTCCCCACACACTATCAGCCACATGTGCTGCTTTCTCTGCTTAGATACCTGTAGAAGTCCACTTTTCCATGCCGACGTCTCTGAAACACTGTCCACCCTCCTCCGTCTTCCATGTCACAGTAGACTAGAAAAGGATCCTGGTGTACTTTGGGTCTGATGCGGTAGAAGCCGCTCGGTGAGTTCCGTCTGTCGAGCAATTCAGAACAGTCTGGGAAGATACACAGCATTAAAAAGGCTTTAGAAGTTGTTGATTATCATCCCAGCTACAGTAACTTTATGTTGGATATTAATGACCTGTAAACTACATAAATGGTGTGCAAAACTCAGTAAATATCATATGAAAAAAAAAATAATTCATGCAGTGTATCCCAAGAATAAACTCCCAGCTCACTAATCTTTTCTTACCTTTGTCATAGACGATTAAACTGCCTGCTGATGGGAGTGCTTTCATCAGTGTGTTGTCCAAACCCACACTGTTGTTGCGGTTTACGTCAGAGGCTGCGTCACTTGGCGCTGTACTGTCAGACACAACAGGCTGAAGTGGCTGGAAGTATTTGTGTGTCTGCAAGTGCTCAACCTGCCAAGTCCTGATGAAGAGCTGATTCTCCAGTTTCTTTATGTTGCGCTTGAGAGCTGCAACCTCTGGTCCACATGCGTCTACTGCCTTAAATGAGGAAAAAATGACTTCAAGTTACAATATGCATTTGTGCTACTGTGTTTAATATGATAAGAGGGAGTAGTCTCTGAAAGTTTTTTTTTTGGTATGGAGGCTTTCTGACCTTCTAGGAATGTCTGTTCTCTAACAGCTATGTTTGTAATTTTTACTGTTTGAATCATACATTTTAAATTCAATACAAAAAACAAAGACAGAAATATATTCCTTCAAAGAGTAACTACGCACAGACAGCTGCGAAGGAGAAGCCATGGTCGGGCAAACCAGAACCAACAACAGCAACACTGGCATGATTTTCAGGAAAAACTGCCCCGCAATAATATTTATCTGAAATTATAAATACAAAAAAAATATATTCAAGATTTAGGGTTAAACAGATCGAGAGTCTAGAAAACAGTTCTGTGTACCTGAAAAACCTTCAAACTACAAGCCTACCTTCATTTCACAACCTTTCCCCTTGTTTTCTCCAGGTTCAGTGTTCTTTTCTTCTGAAAATTTGTCAGCATTATTTATAGTCTGGGTCAGTTCTGCATGGTCCACATTAGAGGACTCATGCTTGAACAATCCTGCCAAATACTGAAATCTGGCCAGTTTGTTGTTTTCCTCCTTTATCCAGGAGTGCAGTGTTTATAAAGAACAGCTGATCCTGGAGCTGTAACAGACAGATTGAGAGGACATCATTCCTCACATACCACACATACCCCCCTAATATCATACAGAAACATATTGAAACATAAAATTATTCTTTACAAAATATATTCTGGTTGATCTTATAATGTAATAATTCTTCATTTAATAAGTAGTCTATCAGAACTTCTGTGTAAACAAACATTCTGTGAATGCTGATTTTGATTTTGAATTTTGAATGCTGTTGTTGTTGCTGATTTTATGTTGGTGTTGTGTTGTTTTTTTCTGGTGTAGCAATTTCCCTGATGTCTTGTACCGAAGGGATCAATAAAGTTTTATTCTATTCTAATTCTAAACATTTCCTGGGAATGCAACCATGTAAAAAATGTAACTAGACTAGAATACACAAATAAAAAATCTATATTATTACAGGTTCACCAACACTACCTACCCAATTTGAATACCTAAAGCCGCCATTGAAAATAAACTATTTATTTTAAAATGCATTTTATCTAACTTACAGTCAAATAAATTCAATATATAATGATAGAAAATAGAGAAAAGCAGTAAATTCTAGAAAGTCAACGTGTGATGTAGAAGGGCTCCCTCTTGTGTTGCTTCTTGAGTATTGCACTAAAATAAATTTTAAACAATTAAAGTAATTGCTTACATTATTATTTATATATCACGTTGAGTTTAAAATACATTTTGATGACTGTTTTATTTTACAGTTATAGTGTGTTGATGTAAAACGTAAAATATAAAATTTTAAAAATTAAAAATGAAAACAAAAGAAATACAAATAAAGGTTATTACTACTCAGTTTGTTTTAACATTAATTTGTGTTTTCCCAATGTTTTTACCAAAATCTGTGACATACATTTAGCTAAAAAAAAAATAAAAAATCAAACAAATAAGATAAAATATAAAGACACGACGCCTATTTTCTTATTTTATTTTATTCAGTTAAATGTATGTAAATTAAAAAAACAAAAAAACAAAAAAATAAAATTAAGAAATTCAACAAATAACATAAAAAGAAGACCTCTAACGTGACGTCTTTTTTATTTGTTTTTTTAATTTAAATTTAAATTTCTGTCATGCAGCTGCTTTTCAAACCAGGAGCGGACTCTTTGGGAATGCACATCCAATCAGAACCAGATGTCAGACAGAGGAGGGAGATGTGAGAGTAGCTGGAACAGCCTCCTGTTGGCCTACTTTTTACAAGTACTGGTTCTTTAAATGCGTTGCTGTGGAGGAGGAAGGTTCTGGTCAGTTTCTGCAGTTAAAAAGTGGTTTGAGGAGGAAAGATGAGTAACGGAGGAGGGAAAAAAAGGGGGCTGAGCGTTTGTTACTGAAGTCCAGGAAGCCTGAAACCGCTACGTTTGCAAAAAAAAATAACAAAAAAAAAACGATGAGGACTAGTGGATGGATAGAAAAAAATGTACCCGGTTAACCTTTGAACCGTCTTCCTTTGAGCGAGAAAGAAGTCACAAGACGGAGGCTCGTATAATTTCACGAATGACAGTCGTGACGGTAAGTAACCGGTGCGGGTTTAGCTAGAGTTTTTTGGGGGGCTAGCTTGGTAAACAGGCTGAGAAAAAGACAAAAGTGTGGGAAAGTGCTAGCACACATAGTGGTAGGTGCTGCTAAAATGTATCTAGAGCTAACTTTGATAATAAACTGTGCATGCTTCACTTTCCTGCAGCAGTGTTTGCACTTTTTTTTTTGTTGCATCACTGTTGCTTGTGTTGGTGGAAGCCTTGGGTGTTGGGAACAGATGCAGTACTTTAGGACAGAACAGTGTTTTTGTGCACTTCTTGTCCCAAGTTTTACACTTTGTAACCCATTCAATCTCCTCTTTTCAAATCCAGAGTCTCCACATTCACAGCAAAGCCAGGAAGAAGACACACACACATAAATGTCCTCCGTCTACTTCAACCCGGGGTCGGATTCAGGTGTAAATGGGTGAGCAGCACAGTTTCTATTTAATGTTTAACTGTATCTGTTGATGTGTACAGTTTCCAGCCCTTGCTTTTAAAAATATCTTTCCAATGTCTTTATTCCTGCCAGAAACATTGCAAAAATGGAGGATGCCCAAGTGCAGATTGATGATGGAAAGGATCAGACTGCGCTCCCAGACACACTGTACTAGTGAGTTCACACAGCTTGCAATGCACAGATTTGAGGTCAGATAAAACACTACATTTAGAAACGAGTTTACTAACAAGCATCATCCCCCCCTTTTTTTTTCCTCCTTCGCAGCAATGTTCGGACAAAGATAACCCCGTTTGTTATGTCCTTTGGATTTCGGTGAGTGTTTTCTGTGAATTTGAAATGAATGTTTCCCTGCCTGGTTGTATGTAATGAAGCTAATATTTGCATGTTTACATCTTTTTTTTCTTTCTCTAGTTTACTTGGAACGGTACTGATCATCGTGGACTTTGTGCTGGTGATTGTGGACTTGTCGCTGCCAGCCAAAAGCAGAGATGTTGGAAATGCTCTGGAGGCTGTGTCCCTCACGATCTCCTTCTTTTTCCTCCTTGATGTTCTCCTGCGAGTCTACGTGGAAGGGTGAGTGAAGAAGAAAGGCCGTGCATGCAGTTGGGTATCAGTACAGACGCTTGTTTGTATGTTTTTAGCACCTGTGCCATCAAATTACAGACTTCCAATAATATTGGACATCAGGAAGAATTGCATCTGTTCTGATAAAGCTAACGGGCATCCTAATAAAACACATAAATATTACCTTTTGTAAAGTTTGCAGTGTTTACTATCATTTGCTGAGATTGTGTTTGAAGAGGGTTTCACTCTTGTTGCTGTAAAGGACTGCAACATATTGGAAACACTACCAAAAAGTCTAATGCAATCTTAAGTTGTCGCTGCAAAAACGGCTTTCTTGTGAAAGTGAGAACAAGAATGTTTCAAAGGAGTGATGCAAACATTCCCAAAAACCTGTGTCAGCAGAAACCAAGGGAGATTAGTTGTTAAACAGGAAGGTATGAAGAGGAAGCTTGACAGGAAATGTATGGTGTGTGCTTAGCTAGTGATCGGGAAATGTAATGCCTACAGTGTCACGGAGTACACCAGTCGTTTAATATGTTCATTGCATGAACTGAGCAGTTTTTCTGCATTATGTTATTTACACGTCTGACATCTCTTGACCTCTCCTTTCAGTTTCAAAGTGTACTTCAGCTCCAAGTTGAACATCGTAGACGCCTGTGTTGTGGTGGTCACGCTGGTGGTCACCATGATCTACACCTTCTCTGACCTGTCAGGTGCCAGCCTCATCCCCAGGTACCTTTTCTCCCCTCACATGCCCAGATAATGGCTTTCTCTGTAGGTTAAGGAAAAAAAAACATCTAAGTACTTGAAGACCATGTCGGATCTTGTGGAAGATTCTAATATGAGTTCAAATGTATTACATTTACAGCCTGAAAATTAATTTAAATTCCAGGTTCTCAAATTGAAGGAGTAGCATGCTCCTATACATCCATAACCCACCCACACTTGTATTTTCACTTACAAAACCAGACATGACCTCTTAGGACTGTGTACAAAGTGTGCTTATTGACATTATACTAACTGTCATGTTTCGTTGCACCTGTTTTTATACATCTGTCTTTCTTCAGTATTCTATCGTAGCTCTGTCCACCTTCAAGCTGATCTATATGACTATATATTGAAAACTCCAGTGAGAGTTTGCAGGGCCCTAAAGACTACTATTAAATTAAGTTTATTTAAAAAAACAGCATATCTCAGCATATTGCGAAACACAGTTTTAGTTTCTAAACGTTTTGTATTGATATACTGTCATCCTGCGTAGAGTACATAGGGCGCCATTTACCAATGTTTTTTCTTTCAGTACTAAATTTTGAATGCTTTTGATGCATACTTCTGGATAATGATCCACATATTTCTTGTTCTTTGCCAGGGTCGTGTCATTTCTGCGCTTCTTGAGAATAATAATCCTTGTGAGGGTTTTCAGACTGGCAGCTCAGAAGAAAGAGCTGGAGAAGGTCACCAGGAGGATGGTAAGGTCGCCTATAAGGAAGCACGTAAAACCACGGATGCTTGATCTAGTTGTCTTCGACATTTGTGGCTTTTTAGGTCAAGAGAGGATCCTTGTAAGAGTAACTTGTGTTTGTTTTTCAGATTTCTGAGAACAAGCGGCGTTATCAGAAGGATGGATTTGACCTTGATCTTACATATGTAACAGGTATGTGTCACATGCTGCACCACACAAACACGTAAAATCCATCTTAAATAGACTATTAAAAATGACACCGTTTGTTTCCTCTCTAGATCGTGTCATTGCCATGTCTTTCCCCTCCTCTGGGAAGCAGTCCTTCTACAGGAATCCAATCAAGGTCTGGACTTGTGTGCACACGTGCATTAAATTAGTCCTCATTCCTGAGATATAATCACACACATAAGTATCAAAATAAATCAATTCCTAGTTACTATTCATGCATCCCTCAAAGATTGGGTGCACACCACAGGTTTTTTTTGACATATTTCTTTCCGTGCAGGAGGTGGCGAGGTTTCTCGACACTAAACACGAAGGACACTATAAAGTTTACAACCTGTGCAGTGAGTTGGCACCTCCTCTGTCACACATACTGCATTCCATTTAATGCAGAACTAATTAAACTTTGCCAATGTGACTTTTTTGTTGGTTTGTTTGTTTCCAGGTGAAAAAGGCTACGACCCCCAGTTCTTCCACTACAGGGTTGAAAGGGTGTTCATTGGTGACCACAACGTCCCCTCCTTGGAGTGAGTTTCTGTTTGATACATCTTCTTTGTTTGTAATTATAAAAAAGCAAACCATATTTAGGTGTAAATGACACATTTTCCTGCCTGCTATCAGTGAGGTTTATCTTATCTTGAAAAGCACCTTCATCCTAATTGCAGTTTTTTTCTATTTCTGTGTAAAGTCCACACGGATTTCTATAAAATATTATGACTACAGACTGAAACGAGATCACGAACTTGCATTCCTGCTTTTACAATATTTTAGCAGCTTATCTCTGTGTAATTGTTGCACTGGACTGTTTCAGGGACATGCTGAAATACACAGCGAACGTGAGGGAGTGGATGTCAGCTGACCCCACAAACATCATTGCTATTCACTGTAAAGGAGGAAAAGGTGATGATCTCTACTTGGTTTATTATCACTTTGTGAATCATTGGAGTATCTACATTATACCTTCATGCTACCTTTGCCTTTTACAGGACGCACAGGTACGATGGTGTGCACCTGGCTAATTGACAGTGACCAGTTTGAGAGTGCACAGGTACATCGTTCTTAGTGATCTGTTCTGCCCGGGTTAATGATAAATCAGAACATTTTTGAAACAGGGCTCCTTCCTCATACTCGTTTCTGTTTGTACACCAGGACAGTCTGGAGTATTTTGGTGAGAGAAGGACAGACAAGAGTCGGAGCTCCAAGTTTCAAGGAGTGGAGACGCCCTCTCAGGTAAGAGCAAGGCGCTCGGGTTTTTAGTGGAGGTAGAAGTGTTGTCATGTTAAGATTACACTGAAAGCACTGGGTGTAGAATTTTAATAAATAGCGCCTCCCTGTGGCAGACAGAAGGACAAAACCAAAAAATAAAGAGGACAAATACAGTCGTGACTTGATAATCCGTGACCCTTAACAATCCAAAAGTCTTGCTATCCGACAGGTTTTTAGGACATACTGACAGCCTTGGTTTCCGACTCCGACATGACATTTTATGTCACAAATAAGGATAGCAGCGTATTACCTGACTTAACAATCCAACAGATTGGCTATGTTCAGACTGCAGGACTTAATACTCAATTCGGATTTTTTGTGAAATCCGATTTTTTTGCAAGTTTGTTCACATTTCCAGTTAAATACAACTTGTATGTGATCTGCTATGTAAACTTCACACCACCCAAAAGCGTCCCGCATGCGCAGAAGAGGACACAACGTTGTCACACGCAGCCGGCGTGCTCAGTGTTTACGGGGAAGTGGCACCCCTGCTGCTATCTATAGCATAAACAGAAGTGTGACCGCTAACTACACTAGCGTCAGCATCAGCAGCAAAGTACTGCCTGTGTGTTCCAACCACTTCAACCATTTCCACCCCGTCGGAGCACACCCCCAGGGTGGAAGTGCCCCCGCCCCCTGACCACGCCGAATATTCTGATAGTCATCATTAATTAAGTCCAGAGAGTGCCATTCAGACCAGCCCTACTAGTTATTATAACAACTATAAACATTGAATATTAACAACAAATTGCCCTTCAGGCATCAAGCCCTCCTTGTATCTCGGCCTCCGTCTTGACAAGCCGACAGCTTTGCTATCCGACATAAAAGAAGGTTTTACATTTAGTGTTGGATTATTGAGTCACGGCTGTATTCTCCAAGTTGTCTCAGTTTTCACAAACAAGAATTTATGCCATCAGAGTAATTTGAACAATACAACAGCTACGTAGCTTCTACGTACAGAAACTTAAATCTATGGATGATAATTGAACAAGTACCATTTTGCATATCAATCTTTTTGTATTACTTTTTAGTTACAGCAGATTAGTACTTCAAAGGCGCTACATTGTTTGATTTATCAGCATCATATTTAATGCAATAATTTCCCAAATATTCAGTTTTCTTTAAAGTTACATTTTATTTTGTGTTTTTCTTTTATACAATATTTGCATCAGGGCTACATGTAATTAATATTTTTATTTCTGGGTAATCTTTCAGTTTTTTAATCAGTAAGTTGTTTGCTTTACATTATGTCTGAAAATGGATACAAAAAATTCTAAAAATGACATCCCTCAAAAGTCTGCTTTTGTCCACGACACAAAGAAATTACGTTTTTTTGTCACAGCCGAGTAACGACACCAGAAAATACTCAAATTCCAGAAGCTGGAATAAAAGAATTTCACATTTTTTGACCCTTAATCACTGAAAACGACAAATAATAGTTGGCTTTTATTTAATAGTTGACAATTCATGACAGCTCAATCAATCGTTTTAGGTTTAATTTACAATGACTGAGCCATACTCTATAAAAACATAATACATACTGTATATATTTATATGCTCTTTAGAGACTGGATATGTAAAGCTTTGTTGTGTCTGAACCACAGAGCCGGTACGTGGGGTACTATGAGGTCATGAAGACCAAGTTCAACAGACAGCTGCCTCCACCTAAACGCCTCGGGATCAAGAGCATCCGCATCCACTCCATAGCAGGTAAACCAGCGAACCCGAAGCACGTCAGAATACACCTACGCCAGCAGGGAAATCCAGTAGATACATAACTTGTTTGTTTTTTTTAAATTTCTGCTTTTGTCCAGGTGTGGGTAAAGGTGATGGCAGCGATCTCAAGATGAAGATACTTGTGAAGAATGATGTTGTGTTTCAGTGTGTTTGTGCCAAACAGGAGAACTGCACAGTAAGACTCACACACTCAGCACGTACACTCATAAGGTCATATATCAGGATTCATAAGTTAGTGGGGTGACAATGTATTCTGGTTGCTTTTAGGTATTTCCCGATGTGGGCAATAATGCAGCAGTCATCAGCCTACAGAATGGACCTGTGGTTGAAGGGGATGTGAAAGTCATGTTTGAATCAAGTGCTGTGAGTGCTTATTTTTTTACATCTTTCACTTACATGTGTAAGAAAAGCTTGTGTTTACTGTGATTGTCACATGATTTATGTTCTATTTGTTTTCATCATTCCCATTAGGGACTTCCAAAAGGATACGAAGATGTTCCCTTCTATTTCTGGTTCAATACTTCCTTCATAGAGGATAACAAGTATGTTTCTGATGCAATTATGTCTGTAATTACTAACTTAATAGTTTTCATATTGTTCTCTGACTGTAGTACTGACTGAATTCTCCATTTCCTTCAAACAGGCTGTTTTTATCCAGGGAGGAGCTGGACAACCCGCACAAACCAAAGACCTGGGACCTGTACAAGGAGGACTTTGGTGTCACCATGTTCTTCTCAGAGTCTGAATGAAAGCCCTTTAGAAAGACAGAAAAAAAATGGCTGGTAGTTTTAATGATCAATGGTGAGTGAAAATGGGTAAATTGAACACTAAGTCAAGAACGAACGAGGCATACGGTTACTTCTGTTTAAATGTCAAGTGCAGCAGGATCCTCCACTGAGCCAAATCACCGCACCGTTTTGGCACGTTGAAATTTATCAGGGATAAACTGCTAGTGATGTCTTTCAGTGAATCAAATCATATCTGTGTGAGTGTAGACTCTTTTTGTGTCCTAAAATTACATGTAAAAAATCTGAAATCATGAACTTGTGACGCTCCAAGATTACGCTGCTCCTATCAAAGTTCATTGCTTTAGTCTTGAACTAGTCCCCAAAGCTGTTGTAAATTAATTCTTTCTTGATTCAGTTTGAAACTAGCTTTTTTTGATCTAAGCACTACTGCATGTACCAAGTGATTGATCAGTGAAGTGAATCTTACATATGAGGTGTCCTGAGTACGGAAACAGTACAAACCACAGAACAGTTTACCAGAACACAGGATGACACATTAGCAACCAATATGCAAACAGATGTCACACAGTCCACCTTTAGCTAAAGTCTGAGCTTTGGAGACAGCTGCTGTTGTAGATGTCACTCCGTTTTGTATGTTTTTGTGACAAAAAGAGCCACTTGGATGTGAATGTTAGCACAAAAGGGAACATTGTCAATCTGTTTTTGTGAATTTTGGTATTTTTCAGAAAAGGCTCAGCAGTCAACACCCCGTTGAAGCAGTAAAAGTAAATGCCTTATTTACATTTGAGAAATGTCACATGTATCGTCACAAAATAAATAACTTTCTTTCGTATTCATATTTTGTTTTTTACTCAGAAGAAAATGAGTGGACAAGAGTATCAGATTTCATCCTTTATTTATACAATCTTTTAAATTATTGCTTCTTTTACAAGTTGCATTACTTGTCATGCTTACATTATACCATGACAGACCCACATCTGAGAACTCTCCTGTCTTTTTCACATTTCGGGTCCATTAAACTTGTTCTGTCAGGAATTAAAGAATTAAAGTGCAGGCAGAAGTAAACCTCACTGAGAAACACTGCTTCATGTTTGGTTTGCAAGACTTCTTTGCTGAGGCAGATGATGCTACGCATGAAGGTAGATGCATAAAACATTGACCTAACTACCCACAATGGTGCTGACAAAGGAATATCAAAGTTAGTACGCACTGAATTTGATAAAGTGGCCAGCAGCAGAATCACTTCACAACCTTAAAACGTCGTTAACTCTGCTTTGTGAAACAATCCATCCTCAAACTTTCCACTATGTGTCACAATTTACATTCGAGCATTGAAAATCAGGCTTCAGGATTTTTTTTTTTTTGGAGGCCATCCTCTTGATAATTGTCACATCACTTTAAAAGTGACATTTAATGTATGCTATTCTGCAGGAGACCATTTAAGTAGCGTTAAAAGTTGCAGGATAGCTGTTAGGGATTGATATGTTTACTTGTTCCCTGACAAAAAAAAAGGCACCCAATTCAATAGAACTGTCGAAATCATGCCAGCTTTAGACAATCCACACAACGCCTACCATTCTGTGCATTTCAAGTAAACAGAGCATCTTTCAGGACAATTACAAGCAGTCCTTTGCACAACTGGCATTGCAAAACAGCAGTTGACAAATCCAAGGCCTGTTGCCAAACACAGTGAATGTTAAAAAAAAAAAAAAAATCACTGATTAAAAGGCATAAAACTGAAAACTCTTCAGACTCAAGTTCCACATAACCCGTCAGTGTACTGAGTAATAGCTCAAGTAAATTTTAGTCATCAAACATACAGCTGGGGCTTCATTTCAAGTCCACTGTTGTCGAGTAAAGAGGCAAAATTACGAAGATACACTGTCCAAGTGCTAGTGACCTGATTGTATACAACAAATCTTGTTGACCGACCTGCAACAGAGAAAACTATTTATTTGGCTCAGTGTCATATTTTTGGTCTGATTGTTTCCCCTCCTCCCCCACCCCCCCAGCCATTCAGTCAGACCTTCCTCAGATCAACAAAGAGTTTTTCTGGCCGCCCGAGCTAAGTTTCCTCCAAAACCATTGAGGTGGTCACACTGCTCCAGCTCATCATAGCGCCCGCTTCTAAGAAAGCACAGTAGAGTGGTTTTGCAGATCTCCTTGCAGGTTTCTGACACGTGTCCTTTATGTCTCAAGTACCAAAACTTCTGAAAAACACGATCATCGTTGATGAAGGTCCGCATCAGTCCATTGCAGTCAGAGGGGAACAGACTGGACAGTCCATAGGCCTCTGTGGCACGGTAAAGAAGGGTCCATTTAGGGTTCTGTACTGGGCTACGTGACGCCCCTGGACTGTGGTTTGCCTCCGTGAGGTTGAGGATGTAGGTTTCATGGTCGACCACAAGTCGGGAACTGCCTTTGTAATTCCCATCGACATAGTACACTCGGTATCCTGAAAATTCACATTTAACCGTGAGTGAACATTTTGCTTTTGAAATATAGGGAGATACAGAACATCAGCTAGTTTATGAACTCACCTGGATTAAGATTTACATAGGTGGTGACGCTGGGAGCAATGAAGGCCACTCCCAATGGACGAGTCAGCGTTTCCTCATCATAAAACATCTGGAACTCATCCAGGTGTGTATGGCCGAAAAACTGTCCGGTAATTGTGCTTTCATATCTGAAAAAGCAAACTAAGTATTTTTACCAAAGAAAGAGTGGTAATTCTGGTTTATTTCAGCCTGGTGTGATTCCCATTTACGTAACTTCCCTCATCTCCCTGTTGTAGAAATTCAGGAGAAACAAGAAGTCACACAAACTTGAACCATGAATCATTTTAAAACTTTGTTTTTGCTTTTTTTCTTTTACTGTGTACATTGTGTTCTGAGCAAATTCAGCATTTAAATCCAATAGTGGATGACACCATGGACCAGTAGGAGGATGATAGTGGGTCATTTCAGTTTGTGGGTCGCCTGTATTATTCAAACAACGGTACACAAACAAGCAGCTAAATTAAGACAAGGAAACATGAGATAGGTGGGATGAGGACAGATGCAGACGGACAATAGGACTGTCCTGAAAGACAACGTGAAACTGGCTGTGTGCCTGCGCTCGCTTTACTGCTGGTGACTGAGGAGGAAAACTTTTGCAGCAACGAGTGACACCTGTTGAGATAAGACTTGGAAAATCTCCAGATGTGACTAATCTCAGCTGCGGAGCGACAACTAATGAATTTGTGACTTTGATAACAACCTGGATAGTGTTTCACCTGCCCGCAATCAAACTGAACAAAAGACAGAGACCGGCGAGATTAAACTAATGCAGCTGATAAATCCAGGCTACTACTTTCTGAGCGTATTTTTGATCAAACTTGTTGTATGACTCCTCATTTCTCCAACTCTCTACACCAGAGGTAAGGAGTGTCAAGTTAACATGGCACTTTAATGGGAAAGATGCAAACTTGAAATAAACTGGAAAGTCTCCTTTAAAAAAAAAAACCCCCATCTATCTTCTTTTAACAGGTTCCAAACAGCCAAGCTATCACGTGCTGACGGTTTTACTAGCATGCTTTTAAAAAACAAATTAGCAATTCAGACATAAAACCCCACCAGACATGGCCATGCAGGGGGAAAAAAAGGGAAGTGAAACCAACTGTTACTGCTAATAAGTCAGCTATGTTTAATTGGCCTAAATTCCATCTTACAGTGACGATAGCAAATAAACCGCAGTTAAAATTTAAAACTACTGCAGCTCTCTTTACTGTACTACACCTTGATTATTTTAAACAGTTCTGGGATTGTGCATTGTAAAGTCTATAAGACCAGTGCAGCTACCTGTTGACAATGTGATAGTAGTTCCAGCTCCAGCTGCCAAGACACAGGCCAGGTGGGATGTGACCAATGATATGGACCTACATAAAAGGAACAAATGGCATCAAATTGAGGAAGATTACAGCACTAATAAAAAAAAAAAAAAGAGGTTTAGTGCTATATCGTGCTCAACGACAGCAATGAGAGATAATTAAAACAAGGAAGCCACAGACATTATCCACGTCAAGCATGAAGCGTGTGGTGGAAGTGGGACACACAACTTGTTTTGTTGGCTCTGCAGTGTTGAGTGAGTGAACTGACCTTCTCTCCCTTGTCCTCACTGGCCTGGAGAATATGAACCAACCACTGCAGCTGGTTAGCAGGATCAGTGGAGTTCACCATGAGCCAGAAGTTTTCTCGCGCACAGAAGTTCATGTTGAGAGAAACAACCCTCAGACCTGGCTGAAGCTCCACCGAGTAGAATCCCCCGTATCTAAAATTACAGAGAGATAACTGAAGGAAGTCAAATTCGGCTCAGGGCCATCCATCAAAGTTCCAAACCACAAAAATATTCTGAGACTTGTTACCACTTCTCTTTGAAAGCAGTGGGATGTGAAATAGAAAGTGCAAGAACAAGCATAACCACAGCTTCTTTATGATTGAAAATTATCTTCATTTTCATTTTAATCACTTACCTATTATCTTCAGGATTGTCTTGACCCACATAACATTGTAAGACATAAAAATATAATAAAAACCATAAAGTTTAAGTACCTCAAAGTCTTCAAAGCCTGATTTGGCAACCATGGCCCCCATTCCTTTGCCATTGCATCATAGAGCCAGGCGGAGGACCTGTTGCCGTGAACAAACGGTGGTGGGAAGCTGTTCACTGGTGTACTCTCGTGGTTTCCTACAGCTGGGTAAACTGTCACATTAGGGCCCAGGTGTCTGGACAGAAGATAGGAAGAAGAGACAAGAGTTGATAGTTGTTTGGATCGATTCCAGATAACACACTACAAACATCTGAACAAAGCTGACATTCTGAATGTTATCACCGTGTTTTGAGTCAGAGTTAAAGGGCATTTTGAGGTTAAATTAGCTCAAGTATTTAGGGGTCTTAAGATATTCCAATAGCAGCCTTCAAACTAAACCAGTGCAGTTAAAAGGTCGGACATTGCAACACCATGTTTTATCAGCCGTTCAATACAAAACTGTACCTAGATAGTGGCAGCTGGCAAAGCAATATGCAGGAGGAGCTGAACGTTACGTGTGAAAATAATAATGCCACAAAACAAGAAAAATTACTTTTGGATGAGTCTGGATATGACTGTAAGCTCAGACAGCTGTTGCTTCCTGGTTTGAGACCAAACGTTGTGGGCTGGTATGTCCCCAGTCCAGTAGACCCAGTCCCAAGGTCCGCTTCTGGCAGCATTTTCCAGGAGGTTCTCCACCGTCCGTAGAGGTAGATCACACTTACTGTAGGTTCCCCAGTACCCGGCCTCCCTTCGCCTCCAGCTGGGTAAGCCAGAGTCTTTACGACAACACAGAGGGGCCTTGCAGTCTGCAGCGCTGCCGGCTTCATACTCCTGTCGGCAGAGAGGTTGAGTTTCAAGAGCAGGACTTGATCCAAAACAAAGTCAGGTGGTCAGAGTCATCCTATTATTTTCCGGTTAGTGATCCCTAATTTCCTGTTAAACTACAACCATTTCTTTCAGTTAAATCAATAACTGCAACCTTGTGTTCACAGAAAGTGTGACCTTTATACTTTTATACACTGTTTGGTGTCCTTGAATATATACTCTCTCACTGTTGACCCTGAGGTGCTATCATAAAGTGTCAAACTGTGTTCCAGCACTTGCTGCAAGGTGTTAATTTACTTTCAGTTTTGCTTTGGTTCATCTCTCAACACAATACACTCACCTTGTCCCAGTGGATGTCAGTTAGAAACAGAACCCTGCTCTGCGGAGAGCCAGGTTTGGGAGGCGAGGGCGGCGTAACGGGAGGCTTAGAAACCTTTGGCAGAGTGATGTTCCACGGAGCGTACACGTCGAACTTGCCACAGGAAGAGCCCAGCAACAGGGCGCACGCTTCGGTGGGCCACAGCAACGACTCCTGGAGAGCCCTGATGAAGTCATCCCTGAACAGCTCTGTGATTTGTCGACACACTTGCTCATCAGCCAGATGGAGACGGATGCAGGCCTCGCCGACCGCACGTGCCACTCGCTCTTCATTTGCATCGCTCTGATGAAGTGATACAGCAGAACAGGAACAGAGAAAGAGGGGGGGAGGTTCAGCCAATACAAGTAAACATTAAATTAGTCCTATGAAAAAATGCTGCACAGACTGATGTCAAAACCTTAAAAATTCTGAAAAACAAGCTGAAATCTGTTTGAATCAGCAAGAATAGCAGTCTACTAGACCATAACATAATTCACTAGAAATCACATGACATCTCTGGAGCGGGGCAGAACTGAAGTGGAATATTTACACCTTTCATTGAAATGAATACAGATCTTGTCAGTTTATAAAGTGTGTGGTTCAGGTCAACAGCTATGGCAATGAGGGCACTTCAGGTCGACAAAGACATCATATGATACAGAGTTCTTATGGTTTTTTTTTGTGCTAAACACAGGACATAAAAACAGCTGAGCTTTTCAAGAGTCAGAAAAACAACTAAGCCTTCTCCATTCGGGGTCCTTGATGTCACATGCTCCATTTACATTGAGTAACCCTATGTGTGTCATGATGCAACTGGTGTTAACTTACATTAAATGTCATCCCAATCTGGTTCAACAAGATGTGAATCACTGTATTGTCTTACCAACCGAGCAGTAACACAGTTTTTAACCACATTTATAACCTAAGAAGCAGCTACAATAAGAAGTTCCTAGTTTAGTCCAGGAAGTCAGAAAACATTCACTGATCATAATCAGAACAAACTGAAGGAAGGAGCTGTATCTGTAAAAACAGCAACCATTAAAGTTTATCACCATCAAGCTTGATTTAACAGCATGTCTGTTCAAACTTAAGGTATGCGATGGTGCTGTTGAGCCACACTGAAAGGTGCAGTCTAACATAACATTTCTTCAATGTATTTCGATAATAGAAACAACTCTCGGTATAATATAATGCAGCCTAACACCACAATCGTAACCTCCAGAGCGACAGTGACGGTGATTTAACATCCTGTAATAGAAACTTAATAACATACCTTAGTAATGGTCTGTTGTGTCAGAATCAGCACTTTTAATAACCAGATTTTCTACTCATGAAAGAATCCATGCAATCTCATAATTTGTGTGCAACATTGTTCAGAATCTGTGCAAATTTCTAAGCATGTTAGAATCTGTCCAGCATCAGCAGTGCTTGTGGATGTTTCTTACTGATTTGTAATCTTCCTCTTTGCAGCTGTACCTGTGCAAACTTCCCTACCGTGAGATTAAGAGAGGCTTATCTTATCATAAACTGTATTAATACTAAAAGTCTAATCATAAAACAATAGTTTAACAGTTTGAATGTGCCACTGAATATCTCCTTTCTTTGTTCATGCTTGTGTTGATAAACCATTTTCAGAACCTCCTGGACCTGCTCGTCTCACTCCCACAACAGATCAATGCACCAACTACCAAATGCAGCAGCCTCGCTAATAGACGTTTTAGGATATTACCAGAAGGGCGATGTCAAGCATGGTGAAGACCGCTTTGCAGAGGGGGCAGGAGATGTTTCTCCAGTTAAATCCGAGCCCTGGGTGGCCGAATCGCTCCAACAACACCAGCCGGGTCTCTGCTGAGAGCTGCGCCGGGTGACAGGAGCCAAACAGCGGCGACATTAAGAGCAGAGAGCCGGTTATCAGCAGCAGCCCGTGGAGCGTCATGGTCCCCCTCCGGCAGCAGATGTCTTCCGAGAACTGTCAGTCGTCAGCTTCAATAAAAAGGACCTGGCAAGCAAACACACAAAAGCTGTCAAGGGTGTAACAGTCTGCTGGTGGGTTTTCACACTTCTGCCTCGGAGTAAATGAGTCACAAACGGAAAACATTTCACATGAAGACACCCGGCTGCTAACAGTGCAGCTAGCTAGCTAATGTTTTGAAACTGTACCTCCAAAAAAAAATGGAGTGTCGCGGTCTGTCCGGGGTGAATGCTGGGAATGGTGAGCTCAAGCAGGCTAGGAGCTTCAACACAGTCCCGTTTCCACCTCCACAAAGAAGTGTGCTGACCCCGCGTTAGCAGGATCTTCTTCGGTTTGCTCCACTGCTGCTGCTTGTTGGGATGCTTCTTCTTCTTGCCTGTTCTTATGAAGGGCAGCGGCTGGGAGGGTCAGCTGACTCATCACGTGAACACGTGAAGCGTTTTTTTTTTCCTCATCTCAATCTTTAGAGCAAACTAACACAAACTCCAGCTGGGTCAGATAGTTGTGATCACGCTACATGCTTTGATGAGATTAACGATCTTTGCCTTTTTTCATCTATTTTGACCAACACATCTGTCCATCTGTTAACAGCCCAGTGGCTACAACCCTCCCCCCAAATACACAGCTGATCAAATGATTTTCGTCATAAAATCAAATAAAAATAATAAACATTTCATTCCAAGATAATTCATCGGGGATTTAACTTGCTGTAGCTGATGCTGCCCTGCATGGAGGAGGGTTAGGACTCCCATGAGACACACAGCTGTTCACATCTTCTGTGAATCTGAGGCCATATATGGTTTGAAGAATCACTACTGAGACCCTGGTATTTGACCAGAAAAAAAAAGAAAGAAAGAAAAAAAATCCTAACACATGCTCCATCTTCTCTAAGTTTTCTAGAACTATCAGCTCCATCTTGTGGCCTTTATTAGTATAGTGTTGACTTACACACACACACACACACAACACAACACACACACTCAAAACCAACAACAAGATTTTTAAAAATTTTTTTAAAAACTGTACAGATACATCTGAAAACTTCTGGATATTATCTGTAAACCAACAACTAAGTCTTTCTTTCTTTTTAATTTACTCCCTCCATCTCTGACTAAAAGACTTCATACAATCATACACTACTGTATATTTTTGCACAACCATTGCACCATAAAATATTGCACATTATTAATTTTACACAATTCTCCTGCATATTCGTGTTTGCACTGCACTGTGCATATTCAGCATCGCCTTCCTCCAGATCTTAACTTTTCTGCACCATAAATATTACACTTTTTCTTTATTTTTTGGTATACTCATCTTTCATACAACTCCTATTTTGCACTGATGCAGATGATGAGTGTGACAGATTGAGTGTATTCTGTAAATACGTTAATCACAGCATGAGCTAGAGCCACAAAGAAACGAAGAATTTCATTGCACTAATAGCTTGTTTATTGATGCATATAACAACAAAGCATTTGAATCCTTTCAATTCTTTATTATTGCTACAATATTTTTCTGCTTTCTTAAAATGCATACACATGTTCGTAAAATGACAATAAATATCTGTAATAAAATATGCAACTCTATTCATTTTTACATTTTCCTAAGCACATTTAAGGTATCTTATGAGTTTGTATGTATGTATGTATGTATGTATGGTTTTACATTTGAACTCATTACCTCCAACACAATGTTTAGACCTATTTTTTTATAAATAGTGCAAAGACACACTACTCTTGAGGTTGAGTCTTTCAGGCATGCATCTGTATCCCACTGCTTTTGTTGTGGCAGTGCAGAAGATTAGGAGTGTACATGGGCTAAATTGTATTAAATGCCCCCATCTGAGAAGGTGTGGATAAAAGGCCTGCCTGGGGAGTCTCGTATTGTCATCACCCTCTTGCTGCTGGAGCTCATTATCCTCTCATGGTTGCCTCTATTTTGACACTTTATCCCCCTAGATATTCACTTTAGATATTTATTTAATGAAATAAAACTATTGTTTTTGTAATCTCTGGTGTCGAATCTCCTCTTTGTGTTGCATCCCACGAGCCGGGCGGTGATACAGAGAGAAGGCTATTTTCTGTTTTTCATTTCCTCCTGGGTGCCTTTGCACAAATTTTGATCTGAATAAATTAAACACAAGTGTTTTGAAACCAACAGCGGTGTGCACTCTGTCCTCTAAAACAAGACTATTATTAGCATACGTTCACACTTTATTGAAGGTGTTTGATTGTTATAATTTAGCTCAAATCTGTAAAATAAAACCACTTCACTGCAGAGCTATCAGTTAATTTAAGGTGTATGAGTGTAATAATTTAATTCTGTGAAACAATATGTCTCCACAAAACACAAGAAAATAGTCCATAAATATATATTTTGGCACTTCATTTGAATAGGATATTTTACTTAAAGAACCAAATTAGAAACTTATTTATCTGTGCCACTCAGTAGTTGAGTGACCCCCTTCCCCCTTGTTGCAAAATGACCACAGTACATAATAATAATAGTAATAATACTTGATTAGATTTATATAACACTTTTCTTACTCAGGTAGTAACTCAAAGCACTTACACTCTCAACTATTCATTCACACACATTCATTCCGGTGGTGGTAGCTATGATTGTAGCCACAGCTGCCCTGGGGCACACTGACAGAGGCGTGGCTGCCGTTCTGCGCCTACGGCCCCTCCGACCACCACCTCGAACAATCCATTCATTAACACCAGGCAAGGTGGGTGAAGTGTCTTGCCCAAGGACACAACGACCACGACACAGGTTACAGGGCAGCATCGAACCACCGACCTTCCGATCATTGACCGACCCGCTCTACCACCTGAGCCTACATCCCTTTTGTTAACATGCCATCCCCCATGTACGTGCTTCTTGTTTCCTCTGGAGAAACCAGATGCTCCAATTGAGCCGTTTCTGTTCAAAAACAATCAATCACCCACTGGTACCATCATCCAGCTGAAGAAGGCAACAAGATTTGTCTGAAATAATTTAGCAAGCAGGAAATACGACTGCATTATCACAAAAAAGTTGATGACATCTCAAATAACAGAACAAGAATTTGTCATAAATATAAAATATTTATTGCATTGGCAATTGCTAACGTGTATAAAAAGCAATGATTCTATACACAATTCTTTGGTTCTGCTTCTGTCTGACTGAACACTGAATATAATCCACACCGGATTGAAGAGTTTCGCCAATATTTCAGTGATCATGCTTTAGCCATAATGAAAGGGCGACATTAGGTAAAGAACATTTAAACCTCAAATTTAACTTATACAAGAAAAGCAATATAATACTGTCTGTTTGAACTGTGTGTGGCTAAAGTGGTTTCTGGCGTTATTTACAGTGGCTTAGCAAGATACATGACTGAAGTGAAGATAAAGAGTGGTTTGATGAAAAAAAAAGATAACAGAAACAGACAAACAGCTGCTGAGGCATTCACTTGTCTTGCATCTTCTCCAAGATGGGGACGATCATATCAAACTTGGGCCTCTTGGCTGGGTCTTCGTTCATACAGAGCCTCATCAGCTTACAGATATGAGGCGAGATCCCGGGTGGGATGGTTGGCCGAAGACCCTCGAGGGCCACCTATAAAAGACAAACAGCCGCTGTGCTTATCGGGAAAACAGAAAACTGTTTAAAAAAAAAAGCCTTGGGATATTTCTGAGGTATGGTGTTTCGTGCATTCGGTGCTGCGCTTCCGAGAAATGTAGATGTGGATACGCAGTACTAGCCTGCGGTGAGATGAGGTACTTCGCCCACTTACCTTCATGCCTATCTCCATGTGTGAAAGATCAGCAAAGGGGACCTCTCTGGTAACAAGCTCCCACAGTAACACTGAAAAGCTCCACATGTCCGCAGATCTTCTGTTGATGTCTTCGGGCCTCTTCTGCAAGGCTGAGAGGAGAAAGAAAACCATAAACATGACACTATAACTCACCTTTTTGTTGTGGAACACGGCCAGATTGAACAGCATGACTAGCGCTAAATTATACGGTACAGTATGTTCCAGACTGAATGACTCATAAAGTTGAAGGAGGCATTATGACGGGAGCAGGAAGCAGGCGGGAATAAGGAGGACAAAGGCAGAAAAAAATAAAAAAGGAATAGATACCTTCAGGGGCCATCCACGCTGGAGAGTACATACGACCAGGACACTGGAAGGAGAACTTAGCATCTGCCATGCTTATTCTGGCTGTCATGTCCTCATCAATCTGCAATTTAACCACAGCAATCATGCAGCCAATGAGGAACAAGATTAGAATACTTGAGTTTGTAATCGTGGTTTCTTATGTTAGCAGCGGTCAAAAACAGAAATAGCGTCTTACCATGACGTGCTTACTGTTGAGGTAAAGCCGTGAAACCATCGGCTCTAAGGTGTGGAGGAAGGCCATGCCGCTGGCGATGTCTAATGCAAACTTCACTGCTTGGCTTTGGTCGACCACCAGAGCTAAGAGACGGACAAAAGAGAAAAGCAATGCCTCACTTGGAAATAAATATGTCATTGAAGGCTGAAAAAAGGTGACAGGAAGCAAGAGACAGAGAGAGAGAAATGGAAAGTATGCCCACATGGGTAATCACTAGAGAGAACATGCATGTGGTTAAACTGAAACTTAACTTTGATCCAGTAATGACATGATGTCATTCCTAAATGTATCTGTGATGTGCATTGACCTGCAACTGTTAAAGGTCGAGTCGTCTGAAGGAAGATGGCTAATTAGCATATTCAGTAATATTCCTGCAATCCTCACAGCCACTGCTCCCTCTTACCAGTCTCCAAACCTCCTCCCTTTACTTCTGTCCAGACATGAGGAGGACTCACTGGAATAGTATTGTGTGAAATAGTCTGAGTCACTTTGTTTGTTTCCAATTTATAGAGACAAGGCTTCAACACTGGACAGCCCACGCACAGAACAGGCAGCTAGCAGACAGTGAATTAGAGAATAAGTATACTGGATCTCATACTTCCCCCCCCTGACAGTTAAAGAGCAGGATGACAGGTGTAGACTGTCTATGAACCTACAGTAGCAATCCTCAGGTGTAGCACTTTGGACCTGGAGCACTTTTTAATAACAATTGTATCCATTCTGTTCATACATTTGTACATTAAACTACTTACTAGTGCCCTGGTGGAGGATGTTGTAGAGGGATCCGTATGGCATGTAGTGGGTAATGATGATGGGGTGAGGGGATGGAGGCGCCTGACAGGCTCCCAGAACAGGCAGAATGTTTGGATGTGAAAAGATCCTATGGAGACACAATGGAATGACAGACAGATGTAGAAAAGGAAAATGTAAAAGTCTCATTTTTTACTATTGCTAACAAAAAACAAATGAGTTAAAAAGGTAAGTAAGTCAGTAT